CCACCCTCACCACCACCACTACCACCACCACCACTACCACCACTACCACCACCACCCTCACCACCACCACCACCACTACCACCACCACCACTACCACCACCACTACCACCACCACAACCACCACCACCACTACCACCACCACAACCACCACCACCACCACTACCACTACTACCACCACCACTACCACCACTACCACCACCCCCACCACTACCACCATCATCACTACCACCACTACCACCACTACCACCACCACTACCACCACCACCACCACTACCACCACCACTACCACTACTACCACCACCACCACCACTACCACCACCACAACCACCACCACCACTACCACCACCACTACCACTACTACCACCACCACTACCACCACTACCACCACCCCCACCACTACCACCATCATCACTACCACCACTACCACCACCATCACCCTCACTACCACCACCCTCACCACCACCATCACCACCACCACCACCACCACCCTCACCACCACCACCCCCACCCACCAAGGCCTTGTGGGATCTGCCTGCCAGCGCTGTGTCCGAGAGTGACCACTCAGCCCTCTTCAACTTACTGACGCACGGAACAACATCAACAACAACATCAACAACATCATCAACAACATCATCAACAACAACATCAACAACATCATCGCCACCACGCTTCACGCTTCACTACCGCACGGACTCACCGCTGGACATCCGCGCTGTCTTATACACTCCTGTCACTGTGAGTTACACATACACATACATAGTGTATACACACATACACATACATACACACATAGTGTACACACACACACATAGTGTCTTATACACTCCTGTCACTGTGAGTTACACACACACACACATACATAGTGTATACACACATACACATACATACACACATAGTGTACACACACACACATAGTGTCTTATACACTCCTGTCACTGTGAGTTACACACACACATACACATACATAGTGTATACACATATACATACACACACAGATACATACACACACACATACTTATAGTGTCTTATACACTCCTGTCACTGTGAGTTACACACATACACATACATACACATACATACACACATAGTGTCTTATACACTCCTGTCACTGTGAGTTACACACACACATACACACATACATACACATACATACACACACATACACATACATACACACATAGTGTCTTATACACTCCTGTCACTGTGAGTTACACACACACACATACACACACATACACATACATACACATACATACACACACATACACATACATACACACATAGTGTCTTATACACTCCTGTCACTGTGAGTTACACACACACACACATACACATACATACACATACACATACATACACACATAGTGTCTTATACACTCCTGTCACTGTGAGTTACACACACACACATAGTGTACACACACACACATAGTGTCTTATACACTCCTGTCACTGTGAGTTACACACACATACACACATACACACACACATACATAGTGTACACATACACATAGTGTATTATACACTCCTGTCACTGTGAGTTACACACACATACACACATACATACACACACAGAGTGTACACACACATACACACATACATACACACACATAGTGTACACATACACATACAGTGTACACACACACACATAGTGTCTTATACACTCCTGTCACTGTGAGTTACACACACACATACATACACACACATACACATATATACACACATAGTGTCTTATACACTCCTGTCACTGTGAGTTACACACACACATACACATACATACACATACACACACATACACATACATACACACATAGTGTCTTATACACTCCTGTCACTGTGAGTTACACACACACATACACATACATACACACACATACACATACATACACACATAGTGTCTTATACACTCCTGTCACTGTGAGTTACACACACACACATACACATACATACACATACACACACATACACATACATACACACATAGTGTCTTATACACTCCTGTCACTGTGAGTTACACACACACATACACATACATACACACACATACACATATATACACACATAGTGTCTTATACACTCCTGTCACTGTGAGTTACACACACACATACACATACATACACACACATACACATACATACACACATAGTGTCTTATACACTCCTGTCACTGTGAGTTACACACACACATACACACACACATACACACACACACATAGTGTCTTATACACTCCTGTCACTGTGAGTTACACACACACACATACACATACATACACACACATAGTGTACACATACACATACAGTGTACACACACACACATAGTGTCTTATACACTCCTGTCGCTGTGAGTTACACACACACATACACACATACATACACACACATAGTGTACACATACACATACATACACACACATATAGTGTCTTATACACTCCTGTCACTGTGAGTTACACACACATACACACATACATACACACACATAGTGTACACATACATACACACACATACACACACATAGTGTACACATACATACACACACATACACACACATAGTGTACACATACATACACACACATACACACACATAGTGTACACATACATACACACACACATAGTGTCTTATACACTCCTGTCACTGTGAGTTACACACACATAGTGTACACACATACATATACAGTGTACACACACGGTATACACATACACATAGTGTCTTATACACTCCTGTCACTGTGAGTTACACACACATACACACATACACACACACAGACATAGTGTACACATACACATAGTGTATTATACACTCCTGTCACTGTGAGTTACACACACATAGTACACACATACACACATACATACACACACATATACATACACATACAGTGTACATACACACACATACACACACATAGTGTCTTATACACTCCTGTCACTGTGAGTTACACACACATTCACATACACACATACACACACACACATACACACACACACACATAGTGTCTTATACACTCCTGTCACTGTGAGTTACACACACACACAGTGTACACACACAGTGTAAACACTCCTGTTACTGTGAGTTACACACACACACATAGTGTACACATACATACATACACACAGTGATACACACACAGACACACAGTGTACACATACAGTGTACACACACACACATAGTGTCTTATACACTCCTGTCACTGTGAGTTACACACACACACATATACAGTGTAGACACACATACACATACATACACACAGTGTACACACACACACAGTGTATACACTCTTGTCACTGTGAGTTACACACACACATAGTGTACACATACAGTGTACACACACACATACAGTGCACATACACACACACATACACACACATAGTGTCTTATACACTCCTGTCACTGTGAGTTACACACACACACACATGGTGTACACACACATACACACACATAGTGTACACATACACACACATACAGTGTACACATACAGTGTATACACACACATACAGTGTACATACACATACACACACATAGTGTCTTATACACTCCTGTCACTGTGACTTACACACACATACACACACATACATACACACATATACATACACACACATAGTGTACACACACACATACACACAGTGTATACACTCCTGTCACTGTGAGTTACACACACATACACAGTGTACACACACACAGTGTATACACTCCTCTTACTGTTAGTTACACACACATATACAGTGTACATACACTCCTCTTACTGTGAGTTACACACACACAGTGTACACACATACACACAGTGTATACACACAGCGTCACACACACACAGTGCACACACATACACACACACAGTGACACACACACAGTGTATGCACTCCTCTTACTGTGAGTTACACACACACATAGAGTGTACATACACTCCTGTTACTGTGAGTTACACACACACAGACACACACACATACACACACAGTGTACACATACACACATACAGTGTACACACACACATACAGTGTACATACAGTGCACACACATTGCACACACATACACACAGTGTACACACACAGACGCACACACAGACACACAGAGACACACATACACACATAGACACATATACACACACAGACACACACACAGACACACACAGAGAGAAACAGAGAGAGACACAGATAGAGACACAGAGACAGAGAGAGACACACAGAGAGACACACAGAGAGACCCACAGAGAGACCCACAGAGAGACACACAGAGAGACACACAGAGAGACACACAGAGAGAGACACAGACACACAGAAACACAGAGAGAGACACAGAGAGAGACACAGAGAGAGACACACAGAGACACAGAGAGAGAGACACACAGAGACACAGAGAGACACAGAGACACACACAGAGACACAGAGACACACAGAGAGAGACTGGTTGTTGTGGTGGTTGTGGTGATTGTTGTGGTTGTTGTGATTACTGTGTTTGTAGTTGTTGTGGTGGTGGTTGTTGTTGTTGTTGTGACTGTTGTCATTGTTGTCATTGTGGTTGTTGTTGTTGTTGTTGTAGCGTCCGTCCATATTTGGCGGAGACTCTGACAAGGAGGGAGCTGTGAGCCTCTATTCACACAGAGTTCTCATCCATCGCTCCTCCAGCGCAGTCTTACCACGCTGGTTACGCTTCCTACACGGTGAGACACTCACACAGACACACAGACACTCACACAGTGACACACACAGACACACACACAGATACACACAGACACACACACACACAGACACACACAGACACAGACACACAGACAGACACACACACAGATACACACACAGACACACACAGTGACACACACAGACACACATACAGACACACACACACACACACACAGACACACACACACAGACACACACACAGACACTCACACAGACACACACACAGACACTCACTCACACAGACACTCACACAGTGACACACACAGACACTCACACACACAGACACTCACACAGTGACACACACAGACACACACACAGATACACACAGACACACACACACACACAGACACACACAGACACACACACAGACACACACAGACACTCACACAGACACTCACACAGACACTCAGATACACACACAGACACTCACACAGACACACACACACAGACACACACACAGACACACACACAGACACACACAGACACACAGACACTCACACACAGACACTCACACACAGACACTCACACACACAGACACTCACACACACAGACACTCACACAGACACTCACACAGACACACACAGACACACATACAGACACTCACACACAGACACTCACACAGACACACACACACAGACACACAGACACTCACACAGTGACACACACACAGACACACAGACACTCACACAGACACACACACAGACACACACACAGACACACACACAGACACTCACACAGACACAGACACACACAGACACTCACACAGATACACACACAGACACTCACACAGTGACACACACAGACACACACAGACACTCACACAGACACTCACACAGACACTCACACAGACACACACACAGACACAGACACACACACAGACACTCACTCACACAGACACTCACACAGTGACACACACAGACACTCACACACACAGACACACACAGACACACACACAGACACACACAGACACACACACAGACACACACACAGACACACACAGACACACACACAGACACACACAGACACACACACAGACACACACAGACACACACACAGACACACACAGACACACACACAGACACTCACACAGATACACACAGTGACACACACAGACACTCACACAGACACTCACACACACAGACACACACACAGACACTCACACAGACACTCACACACACAGACACACACACACACAGACACTCACACAGACACACACAGACACTCACACAGACACACATACACACAGACACTCACACAGATACCCACAGTGACACACACAGATACACACAGACACACAGACACTCACACAGACACTCACACAGACACTCACACAGACACACGCACAGACACACACACTCACACAGACACACACACAGACAGACACTCACACAGACACACACTCACACAGACACTCACACAGACAGACACTCACACAGATACATACAGACACACACACGCACAGATACACACAGTGACACACACAGTGACACTCACACAGACACACACACATAGACACTCACACAGACACACACACAGATACACACAGTGACACACACAGACACACAGACACACACACACAGACACACACAGACACACACACACAGACACACACACACAGACACACAGACACACACACAGACACACACACAGACACACAGACACACACACAGATACACACAGTGACACACACAGACACACACACACAGACACACACAGACACACACACACAGACACACACACACAGACACACACACACAGACATACACAGACACACACACAGACACACACACACAGACACACACAGACACACACACACAGACACACACACACAGACACACAGACGCACAGAGAGAGAGACGCAGAGAGAGACACAGAGACAGAGAGACACACACAGAGAGACACACAGAGAGACACACAGGGAGACACAGAGAGAGAGACAGAGAGACACAGGGAGAGACACACAGAGAGACACACAGAGAGAGACAGAGAGAGAGACAGAGAGAGACACAGGATTAGTGGAGTGTGACGACGTTCCGCTACCCCCCCCCTCTCGCAGGAGTGGTGGAGAGCGATGACATTCCACTCAACCTCAGCAGGGAACTTCTCCAGGAGAGTTCTCTCGTGAGGTCAGGAGACTCTCTATTATCTCTCTCTTATCTCTCTCTTATCTCTCTCTTATCTCTCTCTTATCTCTCTCTTATCTCTCTCTTATCTCTCTCTTATCTCTCTCTTATCTCTCTTATCTCTCTCTTATCTCTCTCGTATCTCTCTCTTATCTCTCTCGTATCTCTCTCTTATCTCTCTCTTATCTCTCTCTCGTATATCTCTCCACTGTGCCCCTCTCTCTTATCTCTCTTGTCTCTCTCTTGTCTCTCTCTTATCTCTCTCTAATCTCTCTCTTGTCTCTCTCTTATCTCTCTCTTATCTCTCTCTTATCTCTCTCTTATCTCTCTCTTATCTCTCTCTTGTCTCTCTCTTATCTCTCTCTTATCTCTCTTTTGTCTCTCTCTTGTCTCTCTCTCTTGTCTCTCTCTCTTGTCTCTCTCTTGTCTCTCTCTTATCTCTCTCAGCTCTATCTATCTGTGTGTCTCTGTGTGTGTGTCTCTGTGTGTGTGTCTCTGTGTGTGTCTCTGTATGTGTCTCTGTGTGTGTGTCTCTCTCTCTCTGTGTGTCTCTCTCTGCGTGTGTCTCTCTCTGTGTGTCTCTCTGTGTGTCTCTGTGTGTGTGTCTCTGTGTGTGTGTCTGTGTCTGTGTGTCTGTGTGGTCTGGCAAAACAACCCCCTACCTCCTCGCGGTGCCGGACGGGCAACTCTGTCGTGGACAGTGCTGTGGGGGGAGGGCCAATTCAGATTGGCTCCTCCCCTCATGGCGTCTGTGACCACCACAGGGGCTAAACGGGGGCTCTGGACGGGTGCTAGGGGCTGGTAACCCCTCCACCTTTAATAAATTACCACTAAACCACGAATTAAATATGTAACTAGTAAGCTTGTGCCGGAGGCCCCGGGGGGACAGGCGTCTATGACGTCTCCTGGTCAAACCCCAATTGGCGGAGCCAGGAGATTGAATCTCTACCCTCGGGGCTCTTCCAGAAACAACGAAAAGCCACTTCGTGTGGCCACGTGGAATGTTCGAATGCTCACTGCGGAGGAGAGGCTGCCACTCCTCTGTCGGGAGCTGGACCGGTACCGCCTGGATCTCTGTGGCATTCAGGAGGTCCGGTGGACCGGTTCTGGCTCCTGCCACCATGAGGGGTGGACAGTCCTCTACTCGGGGCAGCAGACTGCCAAACAACAGGGTGTGGCTCTTATTTTGAACAAAAGAAGGAAGGGGGTGTGGGAGCGTGCCAGTGAGGCGTGGGAAGCTGTAAGCCCCAGGCTACTTTGGGCTCGCCTTCCCATCAACCGGAGGCGAGGAATGGTGGTCGTGGTTACTTATGCCCCTACCGAAGATGAACATCCGTGGAGGGATGCAGGCAAAGCCGATGAGTCAGATGCCTTCTATGACCTCCTGTCACAGGTACTGGCTAAAGTGGCCCCTCGGGATAGAGTCATCATGTTGGGTGACTTCATGATGCTGGCACCTGGTCTGGAGTGATTGGATGGCATGGGCCAGATCAGCTCAATAACAACGGTAGGAGGCTGCTAAATTTTTGTGCAGCCCATGGGCTTGTAATTACCAACACGCTGTTCCGGCATCAGCGCATCCACACAACATCATGGATGCATGCCGGGTCCAAGCAAGAACATCTGCTGGACTACGTAGTGACTGACCAGCGGATGCGAGCCCATTATCCTTGACACCAGGACCTACCGTGGAGCTGATCTGCCCTTTGACCATCGACTAGTCATCTGTAAGATGCGCCTGCCATTCTTCCACTCCGGTGGTGGGTGTACACCCAGGACCCCATTCCAACCTAAAGTGGTCTGGTATCAGTTATCTGATGAAAGTTGCAAGCGAGAATTTCATCATCGCTTGCGGCTGGGGTTGGCATCGTCCCCCACTCCTGATGTCGAGGGTAAATGGGCGAGGTTTAGGACTGTCACTCATGCAGCTGCAATAGCTGCTTTGGGTACGTGGTCCAGACCTCCCCAGAGACCCTGGCTGACGGAGGAGGTGTTCAGGATGGTTGAGAAAAAGCGACAGGCCCACTGTCATCGGCTACAGAATCCCACGTCAGAGAATGAGGAGGCTTACCGCAGCCTTCGCTCGGACGTTCGGAGAGCCGTGAGGCGCTGCAAGGATGGGTGGTGGTCGCGGGTTGCTGAGGAGATGGAGTCTGCCTCAGTGGCCCGTGATCACAAATCTCTATTTAACTCCATCAAAAAAGTAACCTGCAGCACCACACCTATTACCATCATTAGGGGAAAAAACGGTGATCCAATCTCCGACCCCCAGGAACAGGTTTGCAGATTTGCTGAGCATTTCTGTGAGGTCCTGGAGGAGGGAAAATCCCTCAGCCAGGAAAACATCGTGGCACAAAGTGAGGATGACCCTGCTGAGGCTGCGGTGCCTCAAATATTGGAAGAAGTCGCCCCCTGTGAGTGGCTGGCTGAAGTGCCATCTGTTGAGGAAGTACTGAAGGCGATCCGGAGTCTGAGACCAGGAAAGGCAGCGGGCAGAGATGATCTCCCAAGCGAAATGTTGAGGGAGGGTGGTGTTTGTGCACAGACTGCCCTATATGACATCATAACAACAGTCTGGACCACTGGATGGGTTCCGCAGGATTGGAAGGATGCCCTGGTGGTCCCCCTCTTTAAGAAGGGGGACCGCACAGACTGTAACAACTACAGGGGCATCTCACTTCTCAGTGTGCCAGGAAAGAGCCTGGCAAGGATTATTCAACATCACCTTGCCATGCACGCTGAGGAGAGGCTTGCGGAGCCCCAATGCGGTTTCAGGAAAGGGCGGTCCTACACAGATGCCATATTTTCTGTCCGTCTGCTACAGCAGAGGTGTAGGGAATTCCAGCAAGACCTACATCTCTGCTTTATTGACCTGGTCAAGGCCTTTGATACCATCAGTAGGCCTGGGCTCTGGGTTGTTCTTCGTGCTTTTGGAGTACCTGACCCTCTGCTCACGATCATTAAGGACCTTCATGATGGTGAACGGGCCCTGGTAAAATTACGTGGCTGGGAGTCAGAGCCATTCCCTGTACACCTTGGGGTGTGACAGGGATGTCCTCTGGCTCCCACATTATTTAACATCTATTTTGACCACGTAGTTCGTGAAGCCTTCAATAGCTGTACCAAGGGAATCTCCATATGGTACAGATATAATGGGAGGCTGATTGATGCCCGGGTGCGGTCAAGGGATGGCTCCCTATTGCTCAACCACATTATGTATGCCGATGATTTGGTAATAGCTGCTCATTCAGAGGAGGAGTTGGAGACGCTGCTGCTGAGACTGGAGCGTGCCACTAAGAGGTGGGGCCTTACCATCAGCCCCACCAAAACTAAGCACCTGCCTGGGTATTTTGTACCATCGGACACTCCACCCCCACAACTCCCAATCGGTGATGGGCCATTTGTGGAGAGAGTGGAGAGTTTCTCATACCTGGGCAGTGTGCTCATGACCGGCTCCGGTTTAACAGCAGAGGTCTCACTCGGAATCAGTTGAGCGGCATTATCTTTTCATCGGTTGCGTAACGCTGTGTGGAAGCTACCTGGTCTGTCGCTCCGCACTAAGCTTCAGGTCTTCTCGGCCACGGTCATTCCCTCCCTTCTCTACGCTTGCGAAACGTGGACCCCCCTAATGGAACATCTTCGCCGGTTAGAAACATTTAGGCTGGCCTGCCTACGATCCATCCTGGGTTTAACCAGACTGGATTGTGTGAGGAGCTCACAAATCCTTGAAAGATCTGGGCAAGGTCCCATCGGTGAGCTCCTCCGGCGGGCAAGGCTGCAATGGCTGGGTCATGTAGCCCGCATGCCCAGCCACCGCATGCCGAAACAGCTTTTGTTCGGCCGGATCAAGGAGGCTAAGCGGGCGCGGCACGGGCTAGAGAAGAGATGGAGTGATGTGGTACAGGAGGACGTGGAGCTGAGTGGACTTGCCGATGACTGGTACCAGCGGTGTCAAGATCGGCCTCTGTGGAGGAGGCTCGTGAAGGACGCTACTGGGCAGTTGGAGGTAGTCGCCCTCCAACAACAACGGAGGGCGGAGGAGCGACGCTCAGAACAACGAGCGGAGCGCCGGGTGGCTAAAGCACAGCAGGTTGGCACAGTAGGGGGCACAGGTGGTGCATCAGCCAGTCATCTCAGTCAGTCGACCCGTGGCACCTGGGTCTGCCCCGTGACCTCCTGCCAGCGGGCGTTCGACACTTCACGTGGCCTCAGGGTGCACATAGCCTGGCACAAGCGTCGTGGTGACGTCACCGCCACTTAGTGGCGAATGGCGGTTGTTGTTGTTGTGTGTCTGTGTGTGTGGTGTGTGTCTGTGTGTGTGTAACTGTGTGTGTGTCACTGTGTGTCTGTGTGTGTCTGTGTGTGTGTGTAACTGAGTGTGTGTCACTGTGTGTGTAACTGTGTGTGTGTCTGTGTGTCACTGTGTGTGTGTCTGGGTGTGTGTCACTGTGTGTGTGTGGGGAGCGGTAGTGTAGTAGCGGTTAGCGCTACGCTGCGCTATGAACCTGGTGACCCGGGTTCGATTCCCGCTCACGGCCAACACCAGTGACGATTATCTGAACCGGTCCCGGGCCTCCCCTAGGTCGACTCAGCCTCAAATGAGTACCTGGTGCGGTGTGTAAACATCGCCACTAGGGAGACAAAGGCGGTCGGGTGTGGTGCTGGCCACCCACCCCCTCGTGTACCGTTCCGGCCTTCATAGGTGCTCGCTAACAGCACTTGCCCCTACAGTCTGTTAAGGCTATATGGGGGATCTTTGTGTGTCTGTGTGTGTGTATCTGTGTGTGTGTGTCACTGTGTGTGTGTAACTGTGTGTGTGTGTGTAACTGTGTGTGTGTGTAACTGTGTGTGTGTACACTGTGTGTGTATCTGTGTGTAACTGTGTGTGTGTATCTTTGTTTTGTTGTGTAACTCTGTGTGTGTGTCACTGTGTGTGTGTGTGTGTAACTGTATCTGTGTGTGTGTCACTGTGTGTGTCTGTGTGTGTAACTGTGTGTGTGTGTGTCACTGTGTGTGTGTGTACACTGTGTGTGTGTCACTGTGTGTGTGTCACTGTGTGTCACTGTGTGTGTCACTGTGTGTGTGTGTCACTGTGTGTGTGTGTATCTGTGTGTGTCACTGTGTGTGTGTCACTGTGTGTCACTGTGTGTGTGTGTGTCACTGTGTGTGTGTGTGTCACTGTGTGTGTGTGTATCTGTGTGTGTGTCACTGTGTGTGTGTGTGTCACTGTGTGTGTGTACACTGTGTGTGTGTGTCACTGTATGTGTGTATCTGTGTGTGTCACTGTGTGTGTGTAACTGTGTGTGTGTGTGTGTAACTGTGTGTGTAACTGTGTGTGTAACTGTGTGTGTGTGTAACTGTATCTGTGTGTGTGTGTGTCACTGTGTGTGTGTATCTGTGTGTGTGTATCTGTGTGTGTGTATCTGTGTGTGTGTGTAACTGTGTGTGTGTCTGTGTGTGTGTGTAACTGTGTGTGTGTGTCTGTGTGTGTGTGTCACTGTGTATCTGTGTGTGTGTGTGTCACTGTGTGTGTGTGTGTGTGTATCTGTGTGTGTGTGTAACTGTGTGTGTGTGTAACTGTGTGTGTGTGTCACTGTGTGTGTGTGTGACTGTATCTGTGTGTGTGTCACTGTGTCTGTGTGTGTGTCACTGTGTGTGTGTGTGTCTGTGTGTGTAACTGTGTGTGTGTAACTGTGTGTGTGTGTGTCACTGTGTGTGTGTGTGTGTCACTGTGTGTGTGTGTACTACAGGAGAGTAGGTTCCGTGCTAGAGGTCCGCTACCTGCGTCACCTGGCTGAGCGGATGAAGCGAGACCCCCAGGCCTATGACGATTTCTTCGCTGAGTTTGGAGTCTTCCTTAGGGAGGGTCTCATCACGAGCACGGACTCACAAGTCAAGGTCGCTACCACCCACCACTACCACCCACCACTACCACCCACTACTAACACTCACCACTACCACCCACCCACTACTACCACTCATTACTACCACCCACTACTACCACCCACTACTACCACCCACTACTACCACTCACCACTACCACCCATTACTATCACTCACTACTATCACTCATTACTACCACTCACCACTACCACCCACTACTATCACTCACTACTATCACTCACTACTAACACTCATTACTACCACCCACTACTACCACCCACTACTACCACTCACCACTACCACCCACCACTACCACCCACTACTACCACCCACTACTACCACCCACTACTACCACTCACTACTAACACTCACCACTACCACCCACCCACTACTACCACTCATTACTACCACCCACTACTACCACCCACTACTACCACCCACTACTACCACTCACCACTACCACCCACTACTATCACTCACTACTATCACTCATTACTACCACTCACCACTACCACCCACTACTACCACCCACCACTACCACCCACTACTATCACTCACTACTAACACTCATTACTACCACCCACTACTACCACTCATTACTACCACCCACTACTATCACTCATTACTATCACTCATTACTAACACTCATTACTACCACCCACTACTACCACTCATTACTACCACCCACTGCTATCACTCATTACTATCACTCATTACTACCACCCACTACTACCACCCACTACTACCACTCATTACTACCACCCACTACTATCACTCATTACTACCACCCACTACTACCACCCACTACTACCACTCATTACTACCACTCATTACTACCACTCACTACTACCACCCACTACTCCCACTACTAACACTCATTACTACCACCCACTACTACCACCCAATACTACCACCCACTACTACCACCCACCACTACCACCCACTACTAACACTCATTACTACCACCCACTACTACCACTCATTACTACCACCCACTACTATCACTCATTACTACCACTCACTACTACCACCCACTACTACCACCCACTACTACCACCCACTACCATCACCCACCACTACCACCCACTACTACCACCCACTACTACCACCGACTACTACCACCCACCACTACCACCCACTACCACCCACTACTAACACCCACTACTACCACTCACCACTACCACCCACTACTAACACCCATTACTACCACTAACCAATACCACCCACTACTACCACCCACCACTACCACCCACTACTACCACCCACTACTATCAGTCACCACTACCACCCACTACTACCACCCACTACTACCACCCACTACTAACACTCACCAGTACCACCCACTACTACCACCCACTACTACCACTCATTACTACTACTCACTACTACCACCCACTACTACCACCCACCACTACCACTCACCACTACCACCCACTACTACCACCCACTACTACCACTCACTACTACCACTCACTACTACCACCCACTACTACCACCCACTACTACCACCCACTACTATCACTCACTACTACCACTCACCACTACCACCCACCCACTACTACCACTCACTACTACCACCCACTACTACCACCTACTACTACCACCCACTACTACCACCCACTACTACCACTCACTACTACCACCCACCACTACCACCCACTACTACCACCCACTACTACCACTCACCACTACCACCCACTACTACCACCCACTACTACCACTCACCACTACCACCCACTACTATCACTCACTACTATCACTCATTACTACCACTCACCACTACCACCCACTACTACCACCCACCACTACCACCCACTACTATCACTCACTACTAACACTCATTACTACCACCCACTACTACCACTCATTACTACCACCCACTACTATCACTCATTACTATCACTCATTACTAACACTCATTACTACCACCCACTACTACCACTCATTACTACCACCCACTACTATCACTCATTACTACCACCCACTACTACCACCCACTACTACCACTCATTACTACCACCCACTACTATCACTCATTACTACCACCCACTACTACCACCCACTACTACCACTCACCACTACCACTCATTACTACCACCCACTACTACCACCCACTACTACCACCCACTACTCCCACTACTAACACTCATTACTACCACCCACTACTACCACCCAATACTACCACCCACTACTACCACCCACCACTACCACCCACTACTAACACTCATTACTACCACCCACTACTACCACTCATTACTACCACCCACTACTATCACTCATTACTACCACTCACTACTACCACCCACTACTACCACCCACTACTACCACCCACTACTATCACCCACCACTACCACCCACTACTACCACCCACTACTACCACCCACCACTACCACCCACTACCACCCACTACTAACACCCACTACTACCACTCACCACTACCACCCACTACTAACACCCATTACTACCACTAACCAATACCACCCACTACTACCACCCACCACTACCACCCACTACTACCACCCACTACTATCAGTCACCACTACCACCCACTACTACCACCCACTACTACCACCCACTACTAACACTCACCACTACCACCCACTACTACCACCCACTACTACTACCACCCACTACTACCACCCACCACTACCACTCACCACTACCACCCACTACTACCACCCACTACTACCACTCACTACTACCACTCACTACTACCACCCACTACTACCACCCACTACTACCACCCACTACTATCACTCACTACTACCACTCACCACTACCACCCACCCACTACTACCACTCACTACTACCACCCACTACTACCACCCACTACTACCACCTACTACTACCACCCACTACTACCACCCACTACTACCACTCACTACTACCACCCACCACTACCACCCACTACTAACACCCACTACTACCACCCACTACTATCACTCACCACTACCACCCACTACTAACACCCACTACTACCACTCACCACTACCACCCACCCACTACTACCACTCACCACTACCACCCACCCACTACTACCACTCACTACTATCACTCACCACTACCACCCACTACTACCACCCACTACTAGCACTCACCACTACCACCCACTACTACCACCCACCACTACCACCCACCACTAACACCCACTACTATCACTCATTACTACCACCCACTACTTCCACTCAGTACTACCACCCACTACTACCACCCACTACTACCACCCACTACTATCACTCACCACTACCACTCACCACTACCACCCACTACTACCACTCACTACTAACACCCACTACTACCACCCACTACTACCACCCACTACTACCACCCACTACTACCACTCACCACTACCACTCACCACTACCACCCACTACCACCACTCACTACTAACACCCACTACTACCACCCACTACTACCACCCACTACTACCACCCACTACTATCACTCGCTACTACCACCCACCACTACCACCCACCACTACTACCACCCACTACTACCACTCACCACTACCACTCACCACTACCACCCACTACTACCACCCACTACTTCCACTCACCACTACCACCCACCACTACCACTCACTACTACCACCCACCACTACCACCCACCACTACCCCCACTACTACCACCCACTACTACCATCCACCACTACCACCCACCACTACCACCCACCACTACCACTCACTACTACCACCCACTACTACCACTCACTACTACCACCCACCACTACCACCCACTACTACCACCCACTACTACCACCCACTACTACCACTCACCACTACCACCCGCTACTACCACCCACTACTACCACCCACCACTACCACCCACTACTACCACTCACCACTACCACCCACTACTACCACTCACCACTACCACCCGCTACTACCACCCACTACTACCACCCACTACTACCACCCACTACTTCCACCCACCACTACCACCCACTACTACCACTTACCACTACCACCCACTACTACCACCCACTACTACCACCCACTACTACCACCCACTACTACCACCCACTACTACCACTCACTGCTACCACCCACTACTACCACCCACTACTACCACCCACCACTACCACCCACCACTACTACCACCCACTACTACCACCCACTACTACCACTCACTGCTACCACCCACTACTACCACCCACTACTACCACCCACTACTACCACCCACCACTACCACCCACCACTACTACCACTCACTACTATCACTCACTACTACCACCCACTACTACCACTCATTACTAACACTCACTACTACCACCCACTACTACCACCCACTACCACCCACTACTACCACTCACTACTACCACCCACTATTACCACCCACTACTACCACCCACTACTATCACTCACTACTAACACTCACCCACCACTACCACCCACTAATACCACCCACTACTACCACTCACCACTACCACCCACTACTACCACCCACTACTACCACTCACCACTACCACCCACTACTACCACTCACCACTACCACCCACCACTACCACCCACCACTACCACCCACTACTACCACCCACTACTACCACCCACCACTACCACCCACCACTACTACCACCCACTACTACCACCCACTACTACCACCCACTACTACCACCCACCACTAGCACTCACCACTACCACCCACCACTACCACCCACTACTATCACCCACTACTACCACCCACTACTACCACTCACTACTACCACTCACTACTATCACCCACCACTACCACTCACCACTACCACCCACCACTACCACCCACCACTACCACCCACTACTACCACTCACTACTACCACCCACTACTACCACTCAGTACTATCACCCACCACTACCACTCACTACTACCACCCACTACTACCACCCACTACTACCACCCACTACTACCACCCACTACTACCACCCACTACTACCACCCACCCACCACTACCCCCCAACCACCCACCACTACCACCCACCACTACCACCCACTACTACCACTCACCACTACCACCCACTACTACCACCCACCCATCACTACCACCCACCACTACCACCCACTACTACTACTACCAACCACCACTACCACTCACTACTACCACCCACTACTACCACCCACCACTACCACCCACTACTACCACCCACTCACCACTACCACCCACTACTACCACCGACCACTACCACCCACCACTACCACCCACCATTACTACCAACCACCACTACCACCCACCCACTGTTACTACTACTACTACCACCCACCACTACCATGCACCACTACCACCCACTACTACCACCCACTACTATCACTCACTACTAACACTCACCCACCACTACCACCCACTAATACCACCCACTACTACCACTCACCACTACCACCCACCACTACCACTCACCACTACCACTCACCCATCACTACCACTCACCACTACCACCCACTACTACCACCCACTAATACCACCCACTACTACCACTCACCACTACCACCCACCACTACCACTCACCACTACCACTCACCCATCACTACCACTCACCACTACCACCCACCACTACCACCCACCACTACTACCACCCACTACTACCACCCACTACTACCACCCACTACTACCACCCACCACTACCACCCACTACTACCACTCACCACTACCACCCACCACTACCACCCACTATTATCACCCACTACTACCACCCACTACTACCACTCACTACTACCACTCACTACTAACACTCACCCACCACTACCACCCACTACTACCACCCACTACTACCACTCACTACTACCACCCACTACTACCACTCATTACTACCACCCACTACTACCACCCACTACTACCACTCACTACTATCACTCACTACTACCACTCACTACTAACACTCACCCACCACTACCACCCACTACTACCACCCACTACTACCACTCACTACTACCACCCACTACTATCACTCATTACTACCACCCACTACTACCACCCACTACTACCACCCACTACTATCACTCACTACTAACACTCACCCACCACTACCACCCACTACTACCACCCACTACTACCACTCACCACTACCACCCACTACTACCACTCACCACTACCACTCACCCATCACTACCACTCACCACTACCACCCACTACTACCACCCACTACTACCACTCACCACTACCACCCACTACTACCACTCACCACTACCACCCACCACTACCACCCACCACTACCACCCACTACTACCACCCACTACTAACACCCACCACTACCACCCACCACTACTACCACCCACTACTACCACCCACTACTACCACCCACTACTACCACCCACCACTACCACCCACTACTACCACCCACTACTACCACCCACTACTACCACCCACCACTAACACCCACTACTACCACTCACCACTACCACCCACCACTACCACCCACTACTATCACCCACTACTACCACCCACCACTACCACTCACTACTATCACCCACCACTCACCACTACCACCCACTACTACCACTCACCACTACCACCCACCACTACCACCCACTACTACCACTCACTACTACCACCCACTACTACCACTCAGTACTATCACCCACCACTACCACTCACTACTACCACCCACTACTACCACCCACTACTACCACCCACCCACTACTACCACCCACTACTACCACCCACTACTACCACCCACTACTACCACCCACCCACCACTACCCCCCAACCACCCACCACTACCACCCACCACTACCACCCACTACTACCACTCACCACTACCACCCACTACTACCACCCACCCATCACTACCACCCACCACTACCACCCACTACTACTACTACCAACCACCACTACCACTCACTACTACCACCCACTACTACCACCCACCACTACCACCCACTACTACCACCCACTCACCACTACCACCCACTACTACCACCCACCCACCACTACCACCCACCACTACCACCCACTACTACCACCCACCACTACCACCCACCCACTGTTACTACTACACACTACTACCACCCACCCACTACTACCACCCACCCACCACTACCCCTGAACCACCCACCACTACCACCCACCACTACCACCCACCACTACCACCCACCACTGCTACCAACCACCACTACCACCCACCCACTGTTACTACTACTGCTACCACCCACCACTACCACCCACCACTACCACCCACTACTACCACCCACTCACCACTACCACCCACTACTACCACCCACCACTACCACCCACCACTACCACCCACCATTACTACCAACCACCACTACCACCCACCCACTGTTACTACTACACACTACTACCACCCACCACTACCACCCACCACTACCACCCACTACTACCACCCACTCACCACTACCACCCACTACTACCACCCACCACTACCACCCACCACTACCACCCACCCACGACTACCACCCACCCACTGTTACTACTACACACTACTACCACCCACCACTAACCCCCCCACCACCACCCCCCCACTAATTCCCCCCACCACCACCACAGGAACAGATTGGCGGTGTGCTCCGCTTCGAGTCGTCCGACCTGCCGGCTGGCACCCTCACCAGCCTGCCGGAGCTGCTCACCCGGTGGCGAGCAGCTCACCATGGGGGTGGTGGTGAGGGTGGTGGTGAGGGTGGTGGTGAGGTGGTGGGGGGAGAGGTGGGGGGAGAGGTGGGGGGAGAGGTGGGGGGAGAGGCCCACATTTATTACCTTTGTGCTCCCAGTCGGCAGCTGGCTGAGAGTTCTCCGTACTATGAAGCCCTACGGAGCAAGGCCAAGACAGAGGTACTGACTCTTATCTCTCTCTCTCTCTTAGCTCTCTCTCTTAGCTCTCTCTTAGCTCTCTTGTCTCTCTCTTATCTCTCTCTCTTATCTCTCTTTTAGCTCTCTCTTGTCTCTGTCTTGTCTCTCTCTTGTCTCTCTCTTATCTCTCTCTCTCTTAGCTCTCTCTCTTAGCTCTCTCTTTTAGCTCTCTCTTTTAGCTCTCTCTTTTAGCTCTCTCTTTTAGCTCTCTCTTGTCTCTCTCTTGTCTCTCTCTTGTCTCTCTCTTAGCTCTCCCTTAGCTCTCTCTTAGCTCTCTCTTTCTTAGCTCTCTCTTAGCTCTCTCTAGTGTCTCTCTTAGCTCTCTCTTAGCTCTCTCTTTTAGCGCTCTCTTAGCTCTCTCTTGTCTCTCTCTTTTAGCTCTCTCTTTTAGCTCTCTCTTAGCTCTCTCTTAGCTCTCTCTTGTCTCTGTCTTGTCTCTCTCTTAGCTCTCTCTTAGCTCTCTCTTTTAGCGCTCTCTTAGCTCTCTCTTAGCTCTCTCTTGTCTCTCTTTTGTCTCTCTCTCTTGTCTCTCTCTTGTCTCTCTGTCTTAGCTCTCTCTTAGCTCTCTCTTAGCTCTCTCTTAGCTCTCTCTTGTCTCTCTGTTGTCTCTCTGTTGTCTCTCTGTTGTCTCTCTGTTGTCTCTGTTGTCTCTCTGTTGTCTCTCTGTTGTCTCTCTCTGTCTCTCTGTTGTCTCTCTGTTGTCTCTCTCTTGTCTCTCTCTTGTCTCTCTCTTAGCTCTCTCTTAGCTCTCTCTTAGCTCTCTCTTAGCTCTCTCTTAGCTCTCTCTTGTCTCTGTCTTGTCTCTCTCTTAGCTCTCTCTTAGCTCTCTCTTTTAGCGCTCTCTTAGCTCTCTCTTAGCTCTCTCTTAGCTCTCTCTTGTCTCTCTCTTAGCTCTCTCTTGTCTCTCTCTTAGCTCTCCCTTAGCTCTCTCTTAGCTCTCTCTTAACTCTCTCTTTCTTACCTCTCTCTTAGCTCTCTCTTAGCTCTCTCTTTTAGCTGTCTTTTGTCTCTCTCTTAGCTCTCTCTTAGCTCTCTCTTATCTCTCTCTTAGCTCTCTCTTAGCTCTCTCTTGTCTCTCTCTTGTCTCTCTCTTGTCTCTCTCTTAACTCTCTCTTTCTTAGCTCTCTCTTAGCTCTCTCTTAGCTCTCTCTTAGCTCTCTCTTTTAGCTGTCTCTTGTCTCTCTCTTAGCTCTCTCTTAGCTCTCTCTTAGCTCTCTCTTAACTCTCTCTTTCTTAGCTCTCTCTTAGCTCTCTCTTAGCTCTCTCTTGTCTCTCTCTTGTCTCTCTCTTAGCTCTCTCTTAGCTCTCTCTTAGCTCTCTCTTTTAGCGCTCTCTTAGCTCTCTCTTAGCTCTCTCTTAGCTCTCTCTTAGCTCTCTCTTGTCTCTCTCTTGTCTCTCTCTTGTCTCTCTCTTGTCTCTCTCTTGTCTCTCTCTTAGCTCTCTCTTAGCTCTCTCTTAGCTCTCTCTTAGCTCTCTCTTAGCTCCCTCTCTCTTGTCTCTTGTCTCTCTCTTAGCTCTCTCTTAGCTCTCTCTTAGCTCTCTCCCTTAGCTCTCTCTTAGCTCTCTCTTAGCTCTCCCTTAGCTCTCTCTTAGCTCTCTCTTAGCTCTCTCTTAGCTCTCTCTCTTAGCTCTCTCTTAGCTCTCTCTTAGCTCTCTCTTATCTCTCTCTTAGCTCTCTCTTAGCTCTCTCTTAGCTCTCTCTTAGCTCTCTTATCTCTCTCTTATCTCTCTCTTGTCTCTCTCTTGTCTCTCTCTTAGCTCTCTCTTAGCTCTCTCTTAGCTCTCTCTTAGCTCTCTCTTTCTTAGCTCTCTCTTAGCTCTCTCTTGTCTCTGTCTTGTCTCTCTCTTAGCTCTCTCTTAGCTCTCTCTTAGCTCTCTCTCTTGTCTCTCTCTTGTCTCTCTCTTGTCTCTCTCTTAGCTCTCTCTTAGCTCTCTCTTAGCTCTCTCTTAGCTCTCTCTTAGCTCTCTCTTTCTTAGCTCTCTCTTAGCTCTCTCTTGTCTCTGTCTTGTCTCTCTCTTAGCTCTCTCTTAGCTCTCTCTTGTCTCTCTCTTGTCTCTCTCTTGTCTCTCTCTTAGCTCTCTCTTAGCTCTCTCTTAGCTCTCTCTTATCTCTCTCTTATCTCTCTCTTGTCTCTCTCTTGTCTCTCTCTTAGCTCTCTCTTAGCTCTCTCTTAGCTCTCTCTTAGCTCTCTCTTAGCTCTCTCTTTTAGCTCTCTCTTTCTTAGCTCTCTCTTAGCTCTCTCTTGTCTCTGTCTTGTCTCTCTCTTAGCTCTCTCTTAGCTCTCTCTTAGCTCTCTCTTAGCTCTCTCTTAGCTCTCTCTTAGCTCTCTCTTAGCTCTCTTAGCTCTCTCTTAGCTCTCCCTTAGCTCTCTCTTAACTCTCCCTTAGCTCTCTCTTGTCTCTCTCTTATCTCTCTCTTGTCTCTCTCTTATCTCTCTCTTATCTCTCTCTTATCTCTCTCTTAGCTCTCTCTTAGCTCTCTCTTATCTCTCTCTTAGCTCTCTCTCTTAGCTCTCTCTTAGCTCTCTCTTGTCTCTCTCTTAGCTCTCTCTTAGCTCTCTCTTAGCTCCCTCTCTCTTGTCTCTCTCTTGTCTCTCTCTTGTCTCTCTCTTAGCTCTCTCTTAGCTCTCTCTTGTCTCTCTTATCTCTCTCTTGTCTCTCTCTTAGCTCTCTCTCTTATCTCTCTCTTATCTCTCTCTTGTCTCTCTCTTGTCTCTCTCTTAGCTCTCTCTTAGCTCTCTCTTAGCTCTCTCTTAGCTCTCTCTTTCTTAGCTCTCTCTTAGCTCTCTCTTGTCTCTGTCTTGTCTCTCTCTTAGCTCTCTCTTAGCTCTCTCTTAGCTCTCTCTCTTGTCTCTCTCTTGTCTCTCTCTTGTCTCTCTCTTAGCTCTCTCTTAGCTCTCTCTTAGCTCTCTCTTAGCTCTCTCTTTCTTAGCTCTCTCTTAGCTCTCTCTTGTCTCTGTCTTGTCTCTCTCTTAGCTCTCTCTTATCTCTCTCTTGTCTCTCTCTTGTCTCTCTCTTGTCTCTCTCTTAGCTCTCTCTTAGCTCTCTCTTAGCTCTCTCTTATCTCTCTTATCTCTCTCTTGTCTCTCTCTTGTCTCTCTCTTAGCTCTCTCTTAGCTCTCTCTTAGCTCTCTCTTTTAGCTCTCTCTCTTAGCTCTCTCTTAGCTCTCTCTTGTCTCTGTCTTGTCTCTCTCTTAGCTCTCTCTTAGCTCTCTCTTAGCTCTCTCTTAGCTCTCTCTTAGCTCTCTCTTAGCTCTCTCTTGTCTCTCTCTTAGCTCTCTCTTAGCTCTCTTAGCTCTCTCTTAGCTCTCCCTTAGCTCTCTCTTAGCTCTCTCTTAGCTCTCTCTTGTCTCTCTCTTATCTCTCTCTTGTCTCTCTCTTATCTCTCTCTTATCTCTCTCTTATCTCTCTCTTAGCTCTCTCTTAGCTCTCTCTTATCTCTCTCTTAGCTCTCTCTCTTAGCTCTCTCTTAGCTCTCTCTTGTCTCTCTCTTAGCTCTCTCTTAGCTCTCTCTTAGCTCCCTCTCTCTTGTCTCTCTCTTGTCTCTCTCTTGTCTCTCTCTTATCTCTCTCTTAGCTCTCTCTTGTCTCTCTTATCTCTCTCTTGTCTCTCTCTTAGCTCTCTCTTAGCTCTCTCTTAGCTCTCTCTTATCTCTCTCTTGTCTCTGTCTTGTCTCTCTCTCTCTTAGCTCTCTTATCTCTCTCTTGTCTCTCTCTTGTCTCTCTTATCTCTCTCTTAGCTCTCTCTTAGCTCTCTCTCTCTTAGCTCTCTCTTGTCTCTGTCTTGTCTCTCTCTTGTCTCTCTCTTAGCTCTCTCTTAGCTCTCTCTTAGCTCTCTCTTATCTCTCTCTTGTCTCTCTCTCTTGTCTCTCTCTTGTCTCTCTCTTAGCTCTCTCTTAGCTCTCTCTTAGCTCTCTCTTGTCTCTCTCTTGTCTCTCTCTTAGCTCTCTCTTAGATCTCTCTTAGCCCTCTCTTAGCTCTCTCTTAGCTCTCCCTTAGCTCTCTCTTAGCTCTCTCTTGTCTCTCTCTTAACTCTCTCTTAGCTCTCTCTTAGCTCTCTCTTGTCTCTCTCTTGTCTCTCTCTTAGCTCTCTCTTGTCTCTCTCTTGTCTCTCTCTTATCTCTCTCTTATCACTCTCTTAGCTCTCTCTTAGCTCTCTCTTGTCTCTCTCTTATCTCTCTTAGCTCTCTCTTAGCTCTCTCTTAGCTCTCTCTTGTCTCTCTCTTAGCTCTCTCTTATCTCTCTCTTAGCTCTCTTATCTCTCTCTTATCTCTCTCTTAGCTCTCTCTTAGCTCTCTCTTGTCTCTCTCTTGTCTCTCTCTTGTCTCTCTCTTAGCTCTCTCTTGTCTCTCTCTTGTCTCTCTCTTATCTCTCTCTTATCTCTCTCTCTTAGCTCTCTCTTAGCTCTCTCTTAGCTCTCTCTTAGCTCTCTCTCTTAGCTCTCTCTTAGCTCTCTCTCTTAGCTCTCTCTTGCCTCTCTCTTATCTCTCTCTTAGCTCTCTCTTAGCTCTCTCTCTTAGCTCTCTCTTAGCTCTCTCTCTTGTCTCTCTCTTATCTCTCTCTTAGCTCTCTCTTAGCTCTCTCTTAGCTCTCTCTTAGCTCTCTCTTGTCTCTGTCTTGTCTCTCTCTTATCTCTCTCTTGTCTCTCTCTTATCTCTCTCTTAGCTCTCTCTTAGCTCTCTCTTAGCTCTCTCTTAGCTCTCTCTTGTCTCTCTCTTATCTCTCTCTCTTGTCTCTCTCTTAGCTCTCTCTTAGCTCTCTCTTAGCTCTCTCTTGTCTCTCTCTTAGCTCTCTCTTGTCTCTGTCTTGTCTCTGTCTTGTCTCTCTCTTATCTCTCTCTTAACTCTCTCTTGTCTCTCTCTTTTAGCTCTCTCTTGTCTCTCTCTTGTCTCTCTCTTATCTCTCTCTTATCTCTCTCTTGTCTCTCTCTTGTCTCTCTCTTATCTCTCTCTTATCTCTCTCTTATCTCTCTCTTATCTCTCTCTTGTCTCTCTCTTAGCTCTCTCTTGTCTCTGTCTTGTCTCTCTCTTGTCTCTCTCTTATCTCTCTCTTGTCTCTCTCTTAGCTCTCTCTTAGCTCTCTCTTAGCTCTCTCTTGTCTCTCTCTTAGCTCTCTCTTGTCTCTGTCTTGTCTCTGTCTTGTCTCTCTCTTATCTCTCTCTTAACTCTCTCTTGTCTCTCTCTTTTAGCTCTCTCTTGTCTCTCTCTTGTCTCTCTCTTATCTCTCTCTTATCTCTCTCTTATCTCTCTCTTGTCTCTCTCTTGTCTCTCTCTTATCTCTCTCTTGTCTCTCTCTTGTCTCTCTATAATCTCTCTCTTATCTCTCTCTTATCTCTCTCTTATCTCTCTCTTGTCTCTCTTTTGTCTCTCTCTTATCTCTCTCTTATCTCTCTCTTGTCTCTCTCTTGTCTCTCTCTTGTCTCTCTCTTGTCTCTCTCTTGTCTCTCTCTTGTCTCTCTCTTGTCTCTCTCTTAGCTCTCTCTTAGCTCTCTCTTAGCTCTCTCTTATCCCTCTCTTAGCTCTCTCTTAGCTCTCCCTTAGCTCTCTCTTAGCTCTCTCTTGTCTCTCTCTTAACTCTCTCTTAGCTCTCTCTTAGCTCTCTCTTGTCTCTCTCTTGTCTCTCTCTTATCTCTCTCTTGTCTATCTCTTAGCTCTCTCTTAGCTCTCTCTTGTCTCTCTCTTATCTCTCTCTTATCACTCTCTTAGCTCTCTCTTAGCTCTCTCTTGTCTCTCTCTTATCTCTCTCTTAGCTCTCTCTTAGCTCTCTCTTAGCTCTCTCTTAGCTCTCTCTTATCTCTCTCTTAGCTCTCTTATCTCTCTCTTATCTCTCTCTTAGCTCTCTCTTAGCTCTCTCTTGTCTCTCTCTTGTCTCTCTCTTGTCTCTCTCTTAGCTCTCTCTTGTCTCTCTCTTATCTCTCTCTTATCTCTCTCTCTTAGCTCTCTCTTAGCTCTCTCTTAGCTCTCTCTCTTAGCTCTCTCTCTTAGCTCTCTCTTAGCTCTCTCTCTTAGCTCTCTCTTGCCTCTCTCTTGCCTCTCTCTTATCTCTCTCTTAGCTCTCTCTTATCTCTCTCTTAGCTCTCTTATCTCTCTCTTATCTCTCTCTTAGCTCTCTCTTAGCTCTCTCTTAGCTCTCTCTTGTCTCTCTCTTAGCTCTCTCTTAGCTCTCTCTTGTCTCTCTCTTGTCTCTCTCTTATCTCTCTCTTATCTCTCTCTCTTAGCTCTCTCTTAGCTCTCTCTTAGCTCTCTCTTAGCTCTCTCTCTCTCTTAGCTCTCTCTTAGCTCTCTCTCTTAGCTCTCTCTTGTCTCTCTCTTATCTCTCTCTTATCTCTCTCTTAGCTCTCTCTTAGCTCTCTCTCTTATCTCTCTCTTAGCTCTCTCTCTTGTCTCTCTCTTATCTCTCTCTTAGCTCTCTCTTAGCTCTCTCTTAGCTCTCTCTTAGCTCTCTCTTGTCTCTCTCTTATCTCTCTCTCTTGTCTCTCTCTTAGCTCTCTCTTAGCTCTCTCTTGTCTCTCTCTTAGCTCTCTCTTGTCTCTGTCTTGTCTCTCTCTTATCTCTCTCTTATCTCTCTCTTGTCTCTCTCTTATCTCTCTCTTAGCTCTCTCTTAGCTCTCTCTTAGCTCTCTCTTGTCTCTCTCTTAGCTCTCTCTTGTCTCTGTCTTGTCTCTCTCTTGTCTCTCTCTTATCTCTCTCTCTTGTCTCTCTCTTAGCTCTCTCTTAGCTCTCTCTTAGCTCTCTCTTGTCTCTCTCTTAGCTCTCTCTTGTCTCTGTCTTGTCTCTGTCTTGTCTCTCTCTTATCTCTCTCTTAACTCTCTCTTGTCTCTCTCTTTTAGCTCTCTCTTGTCTCTCTCTTGTCTCTCTCTTATCTCTCTCTTATCTCTCTCTTGTCTCTCTCTTGTCTCTCTCTTATCTCTCTCTTGTCTCTCTCTTGTCTCTCTATAATCTCTCTCTTATCTCTCTCTTATCTCTCTCTTATCTCTCTCTTGTCTCTCTTTTGTCTCTCTCTTATCTCTCTCTTACCTCTCTCTTGTCTCTCTCTTGTCTCTCTCTTGTCTCTCTCTTGTCTCTCTCTTGTCTCTCTCTTGTCTCTCTCTTAGCTCTCTCTTAGCTCTCTCTTAGCTCTCTCTTATCCCTCTCTTAGCTCTCTCTTAGCTCTCCCTTAGCTCTCTCTTAGCTCTCTCTTGTCTCTCTCTTAACTCTCTCTTAGCTCTCTCTTAGCTCTCTCTTGTCTCTCTCTTGTCTCTCTCTTAGCTCTCTCTTGTCTCTCTCTTGTCTCTCTCTTATCTCTCTCTTGTCTATCTCTTAGCTCTCTCTTAGCTCTCTCTTGTCTCTCTCTTATCTCTCTCTTATCACTCTCTTAGCTCTCTCTTAGCTCTCTCTTGTCTCTCTCTTATCTCTCTCTTAGCTCTCTCTTAGCTCTCTCTTAGCTCTCTCTTGTCTCTCTCTTAGCTCTCTCTTATCTCTCTCTTAGCTCTCTTATCTCTCTCTTATCTCTCTCTTAGCTCTCTCTTAGCTCTCTCTTGTCTCTCTCTTGTCTCTCTCTTGTCTCTCTCTTAGCTCTCTCTTGTCTCTCTCTTGTCTCTCTCTTATCTCTCTCTTATCTCTCTCTCTTAGCTCTCTCTTAGCTCTCTCTTAGCTCTCTCTTAGCTCTCTCTCTTAGCTCTCTCTTAGCTCTCTCTCTTAGCTCTCTCTTGCCTCTCTCTTATCTCTCTCTTAGCTCTCTCTTAGCTCTCTCTCTTATCTCTCTCTTAGCTCTCTCTCTTGTCTCTCTCTTATCTCTCTCTTAGCTCTCTCTTAGCTCTCTCTTAGCTCTCTCTTAGCTCTCTCTTGTCTCTCTCTTATCTCTCTCTCTTGTCTCTCTCTTAGCTCTCTCTTAGCTCTCTCTTAGCTCTCTCTTGTCTCTGTCTTGTCTCTCTCTTATCTCTCTCTTGTCTCTCTCTTATCTCTCTCTTAGCTCTCTCTTAGCTCTCTCTTGTCTCTCTCTTATCTCTCTCTCTTGTCTCTCTCTTAGCTCTCTCTTAGCTCTCTCTTAGCTCTCTCTTGTCTCTCTCTTAGCTCTCTCTTGTCTCTGTCTTGTCTCTGTCTTGTCTCTCTCTTATCTCTCTCTTAACTCTCTCTTGTCTCTCTCTTTTAGCTCTCTCTTGTCTCTCTCTTGTCTCTCTCTTATCTCTCTCTTATCTCTCTCTTGTCTCTCTCTTGTCTCTCTCTTATCTCTCTCTTATCTCTCTCTTATCTCTCTCTTATCTCTCTCTTGTCTCTCTCTTGTCTCTCTCTTATCTCTCTCTTATCTCTCTCTTGTCTCTCTCTTGTCTCTCTCTTGTCTCTCTCTTGTCTCTCTCTTGTCTCTCTCTTATCTCTCTCTTATCTCTCTCTTGTCTCTCTCTTGTCTCTCTCTTGTCTCTCTCTTGTCTCTCTCTTATCTCTCTCTTATCTCTCTCTTGTCTCTCTCTTGTCTCTCTATCTATGACCCCTGGTGACCTAATGACCTTCTAATGACCTATAATGACCCCAAATAACCTCTGACTTGCAATGACCCCATGACTTGTGACCTCTAGGTGCTGCTGTGCTATGACCCCTACGATGAACTCTAATGACCCCATGGTGACCTAATGACCCCGTAGTGACCTGTGACCCCTCCAGGTGCTGCTGTGCTATGACCCCTACGATGACCTCTAATGACCCCATGGTGATCTAATGACCTGTGACCCCCCAGGTGCTGCTGTGCTATGACCCCTATGATGAGCTCTAATGACCCCGTGGTGACCTAATGACCCCGTGGTGACCTGTGACCCCTCCAGGTGCTGCTGTGCTATGACCCCTACGATGACCTCTAATGACCCCATGGTGACCTAATGACCTGTGACCCCCCAGGTGCTGCTGTGCTATGACCCCTACGATGAGCTCTGATGACCCCGTGGTGACCTAATGACCCCGTGGTGACCTGTGACCCCTCCAGGTGCTGCTGTGCTATGACCCCTACGATGAGCTGACGCTGCTTCACCTGGGAAGCTTCTCCGGGAGGCGACTCCTATCAGTGGAGACAGATATTGTGGTGGACCACTACAAGGAGAACCCTCACCCACAGCCTCACCACGCACACTCACCAGGTGACACTCACCACTCACTCACTCACCACTCACTCACTCACCACTCACTCACTCACCACTCACTCACTCACTCAGTCACTCAGTCACTCACCCACTCAGTCACCACTCACTCACTCACCCACTCACTCACCCACTCACTCACCACTCACTCACTCACCCACTCACTCAGTCACCCACAGCCTCACCACGCACACTCACCAGGTGACACTCACCACTCACTCACCACTCACTCACTCACCACTCACTCACCACCCACACTCACTCACCACTCACTCACCACTCACTCACCACTCAGTCACCCACAGCCTCACCACGCACACTCACCAGGTGACACTCACTCACTCACCACTCACCACTCACTCACCACTCACTCACCACTCACTCACCACTCACCCACTCAGTCACCCACAGCCTCACCACGCACACTCACCAGGTGACACTCACCACTCACTCACCACTCACTCACCACTCACTCACCACCCACTCACTCACCACTCACTCACCACTCAGTCATCCACTCACTCACTCAGCCACTCACTCAGCCACTCACTCACCACTCACTCACCACTCACTCACCACTCAGTCACCCACAGCCTCACCACGCACACTCACCAGGTGACACTCACCACTCACTCACTCACCACTCACTCACCACTTACTCACTCAGTCACTCAGCCACTCACTCATCCACTCACTCACACACCCACTCACTCAGCCACTCACTCATCCACTCACTCACCACTCACTCACCCACAACCTCACCACACACACTCACCAGGTGCTACTCACCACTCACTCACCACTCACTCACCACTCACTCACCACCCACACTCACCACCCACACTCACCACTCACTCAGTCACTCAGCCACTCACTCACCACTCACACTCACTCACTCAGTCACCACTCACTCACCACTCACTCACCACTCACTCAGTCACTCACCCACTCACTCACCACTCACTCACCACTCACTCACCACTCACTCAGTCACCCACAGCCTCACCACGCACACTCACCAGGTGACACTCACCACTCACTCACTCACCACTCACTCACCACTCACTCAGTCACTCACCCACTCACTCACCACTCACTCACTCACTCACCACTCACTCACCACTCACTCACTCACCACTCACTCACCACTCACTCACCCACAGCCTCACCACGCACACTCACCAGGTGACACTCACCACTCACTCACTCACCACTCACTCACCACTCACTCAGTCACTCACCCACTCACTCACCACTCACTCACTCACCACTCACTCACTCAGTCACCCACAGCCTCACCACGCACACTCACCAGGTGACACTCACTCACTCACCACTCACTCACCACTCACTCACCACTCACTCACCACTCACTCACCACTCACTCAGTCACTCACCCACTCAGTCACCCACAGCCTCACCATGCACACTCACCAGGTGACACTCACCACTCACTCACTCACTCACCACTCAGTCACCACTCACTCACCACTCACTCACCACTCAGTCATCCACTCACTCACTCAGCCACTCACTCAGCCACTCACTCACCACTCACTCACTCACCACTCACTCACTCAGTCACCCACAGCCTCACCACGCACACTCACCAGGTGACACTCACCACTCACTCACCACTCACTCACTCACCACTCACTCACCACTCACTCACCACTCAGTCATCCACTCACTCACTCAGCCACTCACTCAGCCACTCACTCACCACTCACTCACTCACCACTCACTCACCACTCACTCTCACTCACTCAGCCACTCAGTCACTCACCACTCAGTCACCCACAGCCTCACCACGCACACTCACCAGGTGACACTCACCACTCACTCACCACTCACTCACTCACCACTCACTCACTCATCCACTCACTCAGCCACTCACTCATCCACTCACTCACACACCCACTCACTCACCACTCACTCACTCACCTACTCACTCACCCACTCAGTCACTCACCCACTCAGTCACCCACAGCCTCACCACGCACACTCACCAGGTGACACTCACCACTCACTCACCACTCACTCACCACTCACTCACCCACTCAGTCACTCACCACTCACTCACTCACTCAGTCATCCACTCACTCACTCACCACTCACTCACCACTCACTCACCACTCACTCACCACGCACACTCACCAGGTGACACTCACCACTCACTCACCACTCACTCACTCACCACTCACTCACCACTCACTCACTACCCACTCACCACTCACTCACCACTCACTCAGTCACTCACCACTCACTCACCACTCACTCACCACTCACTCAGTCACCACTCACTCACCACTCACTCAGTCACCACTCACTCACCACTCACTCACTCACCACTCACTCACCACTCACTCACCACTCACTCACCCACTCAGTCACTCACCCACTCAGTCACCCACAGCCTCACCACGCACACTCACCAGGTGACACTCACCACTCACTCACTCACCACTCACTCACCACTCACTCACTCACTCAGTCACTCATCCACTCACTCACCCACTCAGTCACCCACTCAGTCACCCACAGCCTCACCACGCACACTCACCAGGTGACACTCACCACTCACTCACCACTCAGTCACTCACCACTCACTCACCACTCACTCACCACTCACTCACCACTCACTCACCACTCAGTCACCCACAGCCTCACCACGCACACTCACCAGGTGACACTCACCACTCACTCACCACTCACTCACTCAGTCACCACTCACTCACTCAGTCACCACTCACACTCACCACTCACTCACCACTTACTCACCACTCACTCAGTCACTCACCCACTCACTCACCACTCACCCACTCAGTCACCCACAGCCTCACCATGCACACTCACCAGGTGACACTCACCACACACTCACCAGGTGACACTCACCACTCACTCAGTCACCACTCACTCACCACTCACACTCACCACTCACTCACCACTCACTCACTCACCACTCAGTCACTCACCACTCACTCACCACTCACACTCACCACTCACCACCCACTCACCACTAACACTCACCACTCACCACCCACTCACCACTCAGTCACTCACCACTCACTCACTCACCACTCACTCACCACTCACTCACTCACCCACTCACTCACCACTCACTCAGTCACTCACCCACTCACTCACCACTCACTCACTCAGTCACTCAGCCACTCACTCACTCACCACTCACTCACCACTCACTCACTCACCACTCACTCACCACTCACTCACTCACCACTCACTCACCACTCACTCACTCACTCACCACTCACTCACTCAGTCACTCAGCCACTCAGTCATCCACTCACTCACCCACTCACTCACCACTCACTCACCACTCACTCACCACTCACTCAGTCACTCACCCACTCACTCACCACTCACTCACTCAGTCACTCAGCCACTCAGTCATCCACTCACTCACCACTCACTCACCACTCACTCACCCACTCAGTCACTCACCACTCACTCACCACTCACTCACTCAGTCATCCACTCACTCACTCACTCACCACTCACTCACCACTCACTCACCACGCACACTCACCAGGTGACACTCACCACTCACTCACCACTCACTCACTCACCACTCACTCACCACTCACTCACTACCCACTCACCACTCACTCACCACTCACTCAGTCACTCACCACTCACTCACCACTCACTCACCACTCACTCAGTCACCACTCACTCACCACTCACTCAGTCACCACTCACTCACCACTCACTCACTCACCACTCACTCACCACTCACTCACCACTCACTCACCCACTCAGTCACTCACCCACTCAGTCACCCACAGCCTCACCACGCACACTCACCAGGTGACACTCACCACTCACTCACCACTCACTCACTCACCTACTCACTCACCACTCACTCACTCACTCAGTCACTCATCCACTCACTCACCCACTCAGTCACCCACTCAGTCACCCACAGCCTCACCACGCACACTCACCAGGTGACACTCACCACTCACTCACCACTCAGTCACTCACCACTCACTCACCACTCACTCACCACTCACTCAGTCACCACTCACTCACCACTCACTCACCACTCAGTCACCCACAGCCTCACCACGCACACTCACCAGGTGACACTCACCACTCACTCACCACTCACCACTCACTCACTCAGTCACCACTCACTCACTCAGTCACCACTCACACTCACCACTCACTCACCACTTACTCACCACTCACTCAGTCACTCACCCACTCACTCACCACTCACCCACTCAGTCACCCACAGCCTCACCATGCACACTCACCAGGTGACACTCACCACACACTCACCAGGTGACACTCACCACTCACTCACCACTCACTCAGTCACCACTCACTCACCACTCACACTCACCACTCACTCACCACTCACTCACTCACCACTCAGTCACTCACCACTCACTCACCACTCACACTCACCACTCACCACCCACTCACCACTAACACTCACCACTCACTCACCACTCAGTCACTCACCACTCACTCACTCACCACTCACTCACCACTCACTCACTCACCACTCACTCACCACTCACTCACTCACCCACTCACTCACCACTCACTCAGTCACTCACCCACTCACTCACCACTCACTCACTCAGTCACTCAGCCACTCACTCACTCACCACTCACTCACCACTCACTCACTCACCACTCACTCACCACTCACTCACTCACCACTCACTCACCACTCACTCACTCACCACTCACTCACTCAGTCACTCAGCCACTCAGTCATCCACTCACTCACCCACTCACTCACCACTCACTCACCACTCACTCACCACTCACCCACTCACTCACCACTCACTCACTCAGTCACTCAGCCACTCAGTCATCCACTCACTCACCCACTCACTCACCACTCACGCATCCACTCAGTCACCCACAGCCTCACCACGCACACTCACCAGGTGCTACTCACCACTCACTCACTCACCACTCACTCATCCACTCACTCACTCACCACTCATCCAATCACTCACTCACTCAGTCACCCACTCACTTACCCACTCGCTCACTCAGCCACTCACTCATCCACTCACTCATCCACTCACTCATCCACTCACTCACTCAGCCACTCACTCATCCACTCACTCACCACTCACTCACCCACAACCTCACCACACACACTCACCAGGTGCTACTCACCACTCACTCACCACTCACTCACCACTCAGTCACCCACTCACTCATCCACTCACTCTCTCAGCCACTCACCCACTCACTCAGCCACTCACTCAGCCACTCCCTGAGCCACTCACTCACGCACTCACTCACTCACAACTCACTCATCCACTCACTCAGCCACTCACTCAGCCACTCACTCACCACTCAGTCACCCACTCACTCATCCACTCACTCTCTCAGTCACTCACCCACTCACTCACCCACTCACTCAGCCACTCACTCACACTCACTCAGCCACTCACTCACCACTCAGTCACCCACTGACTCATCCACTCACTCTCTCAGCCACTCACCCACTCACTCACAACTCACTCATCCACTCACTCACTCACTAGATACTCACCACTCACTTTGTGTGTCTGTGTGTGTGTGTCTATGTGTCTGTGTGTGCGTGTGTGTCTATGTGTGTGTGTATCTGTGTGTGTCTGTGTGTGTGTCTATGTGTGTCTGTCTGTGTATGTCTGTCTGTGTGTGTGTGTCTGTGTGTGTGTCTGTGTGTGTGTCTGTGTGTGTGTCTATGTGTGTGTGTCTATGTGTGTGTGTCTGTGTGTGTGTCTGTGTGTGTCTGTGTGTGTGTCTGTGTGTGTGTCTGTGTGTGTGTCTATGTGTGTGTGTCTATGTGTGTGTGTCTATGTGTGTGTGTCTGTGTGTGTGTGTGTCTATGTGTGTGTGTCTGTGTGTGTGTGTCTGTGTGTGTGTGTCTGTGTGTGTGTCTATGTGTGTGTGTCTATGTGTGTGTGTCTGTGTGTGTGTGTCTGTGTGTGTGTGTCTGTGTGTCTGTGTGTGTGTGTCTGTGTGTGTGTGTCTGTGTGTGTGTCTGTGTGTGTCTGTGTGTGTGTCTGTGTGTGTGTGTCTATGTGTGTGTGTCTGTGTGTGTGTGTCTATGTGTGTGTGTCTATGTGTGTGTGTCTGTGTGTGTCTGTGTGTGTGTCTGTCTATGTGTGTGTGTCTGTGTGTGTGTGTCTATGTGTGTGTGTCTATGTGTGTGTGTCTGTGTGTGTGTGTCTGTGTGTGTGTGTCTGTGTGTGTGTCTATGTGTGTGTGTCTGTGTGTGTCTGTGTGTGTGTGTGTGTCTATGTGTGTGTGTCTGTGTGTGTCTGTGTGTGTGTCTGTGTGTGTGTGTCTATGTGTGTGTGTCTGTGTGTGTGTGTCTATGTGTGTGTGTCTGTGTGTGTGTCTGTGTGTGTGTCTGTGTGTGTGTGTCTGTGTGTGTGTGTCTGTGTGTGTGTGTCTGTGTGTGTGTGTCTGTGTGTGTCTGTGTGTGTCTGTGTGTGTCTGTGTGTCTGTCTATGTGTGTGTCTGTGTGTGTGTCTGTGTGTGTGTCTGTCTATGTGTGTCTGTCTATGTGTGTCTTCAGCTTCAGACTCCCTCACTGAAGAGCAGAGCCGCGATCTGATTGGTTGGATGAAAGGCATTCTGGGTAACCAGGTGTCAGACATTCGGGTGAGACAACCAGAGTGAGTGAGTGAGTGGGTGGGTGAGTGGGTGAGTGAGTGGGTGAGTGAGTGGGTGGGTGGGTGGGTGAGTGAGTGGATGGGTGGGTGAGTGAGTGAGTGGGTGAGTGAGTGGGTGGGTGGGTGAGTGAGTGGATGGGTGGGTGAGTGAGTGAGTGGGTGAGTGAGTGGGTGGGTGGGTGGGTGAGTGAGTGGATGGGTGGGTGGGTGTGTGAGTGGGTAGGTGGGTGGGTGAGTGGGTGGGTGGGTGGGTGAGTGGGTGGGTGGATGGGTGGGTGGGTGGGTGGGTGGGTGGATGGGTGGGTGGGTGGGTGAGTGAGTGGGTGGGTGGATGGGTGAGTGAGTGGGTGGGTGGATGGGTGAGTGAGTGGGTGGGTGGGTGAGTGGGTGGGTGGGTGGGTGTGTGGGTGAGTGAGTGAGTGAGTGGGTGGGTGGGTGAGTGGGTGGGTGAGTGGGTGGGTGAGTGGGTGGGTGAGTGAGTGGGTGAGTGAGTGGGTGAGTGGGTGGGCGGGTGGGTGGGTGGGTGGATGGGTGAGTGAGTGAGTGGGTGGGTGAGTGGGTGGGTGAGTGAGTGGGTGAGTGGGTGGGTGGGTGGGTGGATGGGTGAGTGGGTGGATGGGTGAGTGAGTGAGTGGGTGGGTGGGTGAGTGGGTGAGCGGGTGGGTGAGTGGGTGGGTGAGTGAGTGGGTGAGTGGGTGAGCGAGTGGGTGGGTGGGTGGGTGGATGAGTGAGTGAGTGAGTGGGTGAGTGGGTGAGTGGATGGGTGGGTGGATGGGTGGGTGGGTGGGTGAGTGATTCGGTGGGTGGGTGAGTGAGTGAGTGGGTGGATGGGTGGGTGGGTGGGTGAGTGAGTGAGTGAGTGCGTGGGTGGGTGGGTAGGTGAGTGAGTGGGTGGATGGGTGGGTGAGTGTGTGGATGGGTGAGTGAGTGAGTGGGTGGGTGGGTGAGTGGGTGAGTGGGTGGGTGGGTGAGTGGGTGAGTGAGTGGGTGGGTGAGTGAGTGGGTGGGTGGGTGAGTGGGTGAGTGGGTGGATGGGTGAGTGAGTGAGTGGGTGGGTGGGTGAGTGGGTGAGTGGGTGAGCGAGTGGGTGGGTGGGTGGATGGGTGAGTGAGTGGGTGGGTGGGTGAGTGGGTGAGTGGGTGGGTGGATGGGTGGATGGGTGGGTGGGTGGGTGAGTGAGTGAGTGGGTGGGTGAGTGGGTGGGTGAGTGAGTGGGTGAGCGAGTGGGTGGGTGGGTGGGTGGATGGGTGAGTGAGTGAGTGGGTGGGTGGGTGAGTGGATGGGTGGGTGGGTGAGTGAGTCGGTGGGTGGGTGAGTGAGTGAGTGGGTGGATGGGTGGATGGGTGGGTGGGTAGGTGAGTGAGTGAGTGAGTGTGTGACTGTGTGAGTGACTGACTGACTGACTGAGTGACTGACTGAGTGATTGTCCACCAGGTGACGCTACGTCTGGACCTGCACGCTGCGATGGTGACGCTGCTAGAGATGTGACTGAGTGAGTGAGTGACTGAGTGACTGACTGACTGACTGAGTGTGTGAGTGACTGAGTGACTGAGTGAGTGACTGAGTGACTGACTGACTGACTGAGTGACTGAGTGAGTGACTGACTGACTGACTGAGTGATTGTCCACCAGGTGACGCTACGTCTGGACCTGCACGCTGTGATGGTGACGCTACTAGAGATGTGACTGAGTGAGTGAGTGACTGAGTGAGTGACTGAGTGAGTGACTCACTGACTGTGTGAGTGAGTGACTAACTGACTGACTGAGTGACTGAGTGTGTGAGTGACTGACTGAGTGAGTGAGTGACTGAGTGAGTGAGTGAGTGACTGACTGAGTGAGTGACTGAGTGAGTGAGTGACTGAGTGACTGAGTGAGTGAGTGACTGAGTGAGTGACTGACTGAGTGACTGACTGAGTGAGTGACTGACTGAGTGGCTGACTGAGTGACTGACTGAGTGAGTGAGTGACTGACTGAGTGAGTGACTGAGTGAGTGACTGAGTGACTGACTGACTGACTGAGTGAGTGACTGAGTGAGTGACTGAGTGACTGAGTGAGTGACTGAGTGAGTGAGTGAGTGACTGAGTGAGTGAGTGAGTGACTGACTGAGTGACTGACTGAGTGAGTGAGTGACTGAGTGACTGACTGAGTGAGTGAGTGACTGACTGACTGAGTGACTGACTGACTGACTGACTGAGTGACTGACTGAGTGACTGACTGAGTGACTGACTGACTGAGTGAGTGAGTGAGTGACTGACTGACTGACTGAGTGACTGTCCACCAGGTGACGCTACGTCTGGAGCTGCACGCTGCCATGGTGACGCTACTAGAGATGTGACTGTGTGAGTGAGTGACTGACTGACTGAGTGAGTGAGTGAGTGACTGAGTGACTGACTGAGTGACTGACTGAGTGAGTGACTGAGTGACTGTGTGAGTGAGTGACTGACTGACTGAGTGAGTGAGTGACTGACTGAGTGACTGACTGAGTGACTGAGTGAGTGACTGAGTGACTGATTGACTGAGTGACTGAGTGACTGAGTGACTGAGTGACTGACTCAGTGACTGACTGAGTGACTGACTGAGTGACTGTCCACCAGGTGACGCTACGTCTGGACCTGCACGCTGCCATGGTGATGCTCCTAGAGATGGGTGCTGTGTGAGTGACTGACTGAGTGACTGAGTGACTGACTGAGTGACTGACTGAGTGACTGAGTGAGTGTGTGAGTGAGTGACTGAGTGAGTGACTGAGTGACTGACTGAGTGAGTGAGTGACTGACTGAGTGAGTAAGTGACTGACTGAGTGACTGAGTGAGTGACTGATTGACTGAGTGAGTGACTGAGTGACTGACTGAGTGACTGACTGAGTGTGTGAGTGACTGAGTGAGTGAGTGAGTGACTGAGTGACTGACTGAGTGATTGAGTGAGTGACTGAGTGAGTGACTGAGTGAGTGACTGAGTGACTGAGTGAGTGACTGAGTGAGTGAGTGACTGAGTGAGTGAGTGACTGAGTGACTGACTGAGTGACTGAGTGACTGAGTGACTGACTGAGTGACTGACTGAGTGACTGACTGAGTGACTGAGTGAGTGTGTGAGTGAGTGACTGAGTGACTGACTGAGTGACTGACTGAGTGAGTGACTGACTGAGTGAGTAAGTGACTGACTGAGTGACTGAGTGAGTGACTGATTGACTGAGTGAGTGACTGAGTGACTGACTGAGTGACTGACTGAGTGACTGTCCACCAGGTGACGCTACGTCTGGACCTACACGCTGCCATGGTGACGCTACTAGAGATGTGACTGAGTGAGTGACTGTGTGAGTGAGTGAGTGACTGACTGAGTGAGTGACTGACTGACTGAGTGACTGACTGAGTGACTGAGTGACTGAGTGACTGTCCACCAGGTGACGCTACGTCTGGAGCTGCACGCTGCCATGGTGACTCTACTAGAGATGTGACTGAGTGACTGAGTGAGTGACTGAGTGAGTAACTGAGTGAGTGACTGAGTGAGTGAGTGACTGAGTGAGTGAGTGACTGACTGACTGAGTGACTGACTGAGTGACTGAGTGACTAAGTGACTGACTGACTGACTGAGTGACTGTCCACCAGGTGACGCTACGTCTGGACCTGCACGCTGCCATGGTGACGCTCCTAGAGATGTGACTGTGTGAGTGAGTGACTGACTGACTAAGTAAGTGACTGAGTGACTGAGTGAGTGAGTGACTGAGTGACTGACTGACTGAGTGACTGAGTGACTGAGTGACTGACTGAGTGACTGACTGAGTGACTGTCCCCCAGGTGACGCTACGTCTGGAGCTACACGCTGCCATGGTGACTCTACTAGAGATGTGACTGTGTGAGTGAGTGAGTGACTGAGTGAGTGACTGAGTGACTGACTGAGTGACTGACTGACTGAGTGACTGACTGAGTGACTGACTGAGTGACTGAGTGACTGAGTGACTGACTGAGTGACTGTCCCCCAGGTGACGCTACGTCTAGACCTACACGCTGCCATGGTGACCCTGCTAGAGATGTGACTGAGTGAGTGACTGAGTGACTGATTTACTGAGTGATTGACTGACTGAGTGACTGAGTGACTGAGTGACTGACTGAGTGACTGACTGACTGACTGAGTGACTGACTGAGTGACTGTCCACCAGGTGACGCTACGTCTGGAGCTGCACGCTGCCATGGTGACCCTGCTAGAGATGTGACTGAGTGAGTGAGTGACTGAGTGAGTGAGTGAGTGACTGAGTGACTGACTGAGTGACTGACTGAGTGTCTGTGTGAGTGAGTGACTGAGTGACTGACTGAGTGACTGACTGACTGAGTGACTGTCCACCAGGTGACGCTACGTCTGGACCTACACGCTGCCATGGTGACCCTGCTAGAGATGTGACTGTGTGAGTGACTGACTGACTGACTGAGTGACTGACTGAGTGACTGACTGAGTGACTGTCCCCCAGGTGACGCTACGTCTGGACCTACACGCTGCCATGGTGACCCTGCTAGAGATGTGACTGAGTGAGTGACTGTGTGAGTGACTGACTCACTGACTGACTGACTGAGTGACTGACTGAGTGACTGACTGAGTGACTGTCCACCAGGTGACGCTACGTCTAGACCTACACGCTGCCATGGTGACCCTGCTAGAGATGTGACTGAGTGAGTGACTGTGTGAGTGACTGACTCACTGACTGACTGACTGAGTGACTGACTGAGTGACTGACTGAGTGACTGTCCCCCAGGTGACGCTACGTCTAGACCTACACGCTGCCATGGTGACCCTGCTAGAGATGTGACTGAGTGAGTGACTGTGTGAGTGACTGACTCACTGACTGACTGACTGAGTGACTGACTGAGTGACTGACTGAGTGACTGTCCCCCAGGTGACGCTACGTCTGGACCTACACGCTGCCATGGTGACACTCCTAGAGATGTGACTGTGTGAGTGACTGACTGAGTGACTGTCCACCAGGTGACGCTACGTCTGGACCTACACGCTGCCATGGTGACCCTGCTAGAGATGTGACTGTGTGAGTGACTGACTGAGTGACTGTCCCCCAGGTGACGCTACGTCTAGACCTACACGCTGCCATGGTGACCCTGCTAGAGATGGGTGCCGCTCGCCACCTCCTACGCACCCACAACCTCCTGCAACAGGCGGGCTCCGTCGCCACGGCAACCGCAACAACAGCCACAACAGCCACAGCAACAACCACAGCAGCACCACCGCCACCACCACCGACAGCGATTCCGGGGATACAGCCGGTCCTGGAGATTAACCCTAGGTGAGTGGTGTGTGTGTCTGTGTGTGTCTGTGTGTGTGTCTGTGTGTGTGTGTCTGTGTGTCACTGTGTGTGTCTGTGTGTGTGTGTGTGTCACTGTGTGTGTGTGTGTCACTGTGTGTGTGTGTGTCTGTGTGTGTGTGTCTGTGTGTCACTGTGTGTGTGTGTGTCTGTGTGTCACTGTGTGTGTGTCTGTGTGTGTGTGTGTCACTGTGTGTGTCACTGTGTGTGTGTCACTGTGTGTGTGTCTGTGTGTGTGTGTCTGTGTGTGTGTGTGTGACTGTGTGTGTGTGTCAGTGTGTGTCTGTGTGTGTGTCACTGTGTGTGTCTGTCTGTGTGTGTGTGTGTGACTGTGTGTGTGTGTCAGTGTGTGTCTGTGTGTGTGTGTGTCTGTGTGTGTGTCACTGTGTGTGTCTGTGTGTGTGTCACTGTGTGTGTACACTGTGTGTGTCACTGTGTGTACACTGTGTGTGTCACTGTGTGTGTGTCACTGTGTGTGTCACTGTGTGTGTGTACACTGTGTGTGTCACTGTGTGTGTCACTGTGTGTGTGTGTAACTGTGTGTATGACTGTGTCACTGTGTGTACACTGTGTGTGTGTACACTGTGTGTCACTGTGTGTGTCACTGTGTGTGTCACTGTGTGTGTACACTGTGTGTGTACACTGTGTGTCACTGTGTGTGTCACTGTGTGTGTCACTGTGTGTGTACACTGTGTGTCACTGTGTCACTGTGTGAATGACTGTATTACTGTGTGTGTACACTGTGTGTGTCACTGTGTGTGTCACTGTGTGTGTACACTGTGTGTGTGTACACTGTGTGTGTGTACACTGTGTGTGTGTACACTGTGTGTGTCATTGTGTGTGTACACTGTGTGTCACTGTGTGTGTACACTGTGTGTCACTGTGTCACTGTGTGTATGACTGTATCACTGTGTGTGTACACTGTGTGTGTCACTGTGTGTGTACACTGTGTGTGTACACTGTGTGTGTGTACACTGTGTGTCACTGTGTGTGTACACTGTGTGTGTGTACACTGTGTGTCACTGTGTGTGTCACTGTGTGTGTCACTGTGTGTGTCACTGTGTGTGTACACTGTGTGTCACTGTGTCACTGTGTGAATGACTGTATTACTGTGTGTGTCACTGTGTGTCACTGTGTGTCACTGTGTGTGTCACTGTGTGTGTCACTGTGTGTGTGTCACTGTGTGTGTGTGTCACTGTGTGTGTCACTGTGTGTGTCACTGTGTGTGTGTCACTGTGTGTGTGTCACTCTGTGTGTCACTGTGTGTGTATATGTACACTGTGTGTGTCACTGTGTGTGTCACTGTGTGACTGTGTCACTGTGTGTCACTGTGTGTCACTGTGTGTGTAACTGTGTGTATGACTGTGTCACTGTGTGTGTCACTGTGTCTGTGTTGTCCACTGTGTGTGTCACTGTGTGTGTCACTGTGTGTGTCACTGTGTGTGTAACTGTGTCACTGTGTGTGTCACTGTGTGTGTGTCACTGTGTGTGTATATGTACACTGTGTGTGTCACTGTGTGTCACTGTGTGTGTCACTGTGTGTGTCACTGTGTGTATGACTGTGTCACTGTGTGTGTCACTGTGTGTGTATATGTACACTGTGTGTGTCACTGTGTGTCACTGTGTGTGTCACTGTGTGTGTCACTGTGTGTATGACTGTGTCACTGTGTGTGTAACTGTGTGTGTAACTGTGTCACTGTGTGTGTCACTGTGTGTGTATCACTGTGTGTGTCACTGTGTGTGTATCACTGTGTGTGTCACTGTGTGTGTCACTGTGTGTGTCACTGTGTGTGTGTCACTGTGTGTGTCACTGTGTCACTGTGTGTGTCACTGTGTCACTGTGTGTCACTGTGTGTCACTGTGTGTGTGTCACTGTGTGTGTCACTGTGTGTGTGTGTGTCACTGTATGTGTGTCACTGTGTGTGTCACTGTGTGTGTCACTGTGTGTGTGTCACTGTGTGTTTCACTGTGTGTGTCACTGTGTGTGTCACTGTGTGTATGACTGTGTCACTGTGTGTGTCACTGTGTGTGTCACTGTGTGTGTATCACTGTGTGTGTCACTGTGTGTGTCACTGTGTGTGTCACTGTGTCTGTGTTGTCCACTGCAGCCATTCGTTGATCCGAGTGCTGAACTCGGCACGGGAATCTGACCCAGAGCTTGCTTCACTACTCGCCCAGCAGGTGAGTGGCTACTCACCACTACACTCACCACTACTCACCACCATCTACTCACCACTACTCACCACTACTCACCACCACCTACTCACCACTACTCACCACTACTCACCACCACCTACTCACCACCACCTACTCACCACTACTCACCACTACTCACCACCACTCGCCCAGCAGGTGAGTGGCTACTCACCACTACTCACCACTACTCACCACTACTCACCACCATCTACTCACCACTACTCACCACTACTCACCACTACTCGCCCAGCAGGCGAGTGGCTACTCACCACTACTCACCACTACTCACCACCATCTACTCACCACTACTCACCACTACTCACCACTACTCACCACTACACATACACACTACTACTCACCACTACTCACCACTACACACTACTCACCACTACACACTACTCACCACTACACATACACACTACTACTCACCACTACTCACCACTGCCTACTCACCACTACACATACACACCACTACTCACCACTACTCACCACTACTCACCACTACTCACCACTACACATACACACCACTACTCACCACTACTCACCACTACTCACCACCACACACCACTACTCACCACTCACTCACCACTACTCACCACTACTCACCACCACTCACCACTACTCACCACTACTCACCACCACTCACCACTACTCACCACTACTCACCACTACTCACCACCACTCACCACTACTCACCACTACTCACCACCACTCACCACTACTCACCACTACTCACCACTACTCACCATCTACTCACCACTACACATACACACTACTACTCACCACTACTCACCACTACTCACCACTACTCACTACTCACCACTACTCACCACTACTCACCACTACTCACCACTCACTACTCACCACCATCTACTCACCACTACACACCACTACTCACCACTACTCACCACTACACACCACTACTCACCACTACTCACCACTACACACACACACCACTACTCACCACTACACTACACATACTCACCACTACACTACACATACTCACCACTAGTCACCACTACTCACCACTACACACCACTACTCACCACTACACACCACTACACACACACACCACTACTCACCACTACACTACACATACTCACCACTAGTCACCACTACTCACCACTACTCACCACTACACTACACATACTCACCACTACTCACCACTACACACACACACCACTACTCACCACAACCTACTCACCACCACTCACCACTACTCACCACTACTCACCACTACTACTCACCACTACTCACCACTACTCACCACTACACACACACACCACTACTCACCACTACTCACCACTACTCACCACTACACTCACCACTACTCACCACTACACACTACTCACCACTACTCACCACTACTCACCACTACTCACACACACTACTACTCACCACTACTCACCACTACTCACCACTACTCACCACCATCTACTCACCACTACACACACTCACCACTACTCACCACTACCTACTCACCACTACTCACCACTACTCACCACCACCTACTCACCACTACTCACCACTCCTCACTACTCACCACTACTCACCACTACTCACCACTACTCACTACTCACCACCACTCACCACTACTCACCACTACTCACCACTACTCACCACCACTACTCACCACTACTCACCACTACTCACCACTACTCACCACCACCTACTCACCACTACTCACCACTACTCACCACCACTCACCACCACTCACCACCACTCACCACTACTCACCACTACTCACCACCACTACTCACCACTACTCACCACTCACTCACCACTACTCACCACTACTCACCACTACTCACCACCACTACTCACCACTACTCACCACTACTCACCACTATCTACTCACCACTACTCACCACTACTCACCACTACACATACTCACCACTACTCACCACTACTCACCACAACTCACCACTACACACACACACCACTACTACTCACCACTACTCACCACTACCTACTCACCACTACACATAAACACCACTACTCACCACTACTCACCACTACTACTACCACTACTACTCACCACTACTACTCACCACTACTACTCACCACCACTACTCACCACTCACTCACCACTACTCACCACTACTCACCACTACTTACCACTACCTACTCACCACCACCTACTCACCACTACCTACTCACCACTACCTACTCACCACTCACCACTACTCACCACTACCTACTCACCACTCACCAATACTCACCACTCACCACTACTCACCACCACCTACTCACCACTACTCACCACTACCTACTCACTTCTCACCACTACTCACCACTCACTCAACCACTCATTCATCCACTCGCCCACTCACTCACCCACCCACCCACCCACTCACCCACTCACCCACCCACTCACCCACTCACCCACCCACTCACCCACTCACCCACCCACCCACTCACCCACCCACCCACTCACCCACCCACCCACTCACCCACTCACCCACCCACCCACTCACTCACTCACCCACCCACTCACTCACTCACCCACCCACTCACCCACCCACTCACTCAATCACCCACCCACCCACTCACTCACCCACTCACTCACTCACCCACCCACTCACTCACTCACCCACCCACTCACCCACCCACTCACTCAATCACCCACCCACCCACTCACTCACTCACCCACTCACCCACCCACCCACTTACTCACCCACCCACTCACCCACCCACCCACTCACCCTCCCACCCACTCACCCTCCCACCCACTCACCCACCCTCCGACCCACTCACCCACCCACTCACCCACCCACTCACCCACTCACTCACCCTCCCACTCACCCACCCACCCACTCACCCACCCACTCACCCAACCACTCACTCACTCACCCACCCACTCACCCACTCACCCACCCCCTCACCCACTCACCCATCCACTCACCCACTCACCCACTCACCCACCCACTCACTCACCCACCCACCCACTCACCCACCCACTCACTCACCCACCCACTCACTCACCCACCCACTCACCCACCCACTCACTCACTCATCCACCCACTCACCCACTCACCCACCCCCTCACCCACTCACCCATCCACTCACCCACTCACCCACTCACCCACCCTCCCACTCACCCACTCACTCACCTACCCACCCACCCACTCACCCACCCACTCACTCACCCACCCACCCACCCACTCACCCACCCACTCACTCACCCACCCACTCACTCACTCACCCACCCACCCACTCACCCACCCACCCACTCACCCTCCCACCCACCCACTCACCCTCCCACACACTCACCCACCCACTCACCCACCCACTCACCCACCCACCGACCCACTCACCCGCTCACTCACCCACTCACTCGCTCACTCACCCACCCACCCACCCACTCACCCACTCACCCACTCACCCACCCACCCACTCACCCACCCACTCACTCACTCACCCACCCACTCACCCACCCACCCACCCACTCACCCACTCACCCACCCACTCACCCACCCACCCACTCACTCACTCACCCACCCACTCACTCACTCACCCACCCACTCACCCACTCACCCACCCACTCACCCACCCACCCACCCACTCACCCACCCACCCACCCACTCACCCACCCACCCACCCACTCACCCACCCACCCACCCACTCACCCACCCACCCACTCACCCACCCACCCACTCACCCACTCACTCACCCACTCACTCACTCAACCACCCACTCACCCTCCCACTCACCCACCCACTCACTCACCCACCCACTCACTCACTCACCCACTCACTCACCCACTCACTCACCCACCCACACACCCACCCACCCACTCACTCACCCACCCACCCACTCACCCACCCACCCACTCACTCACTCACTCACCCACTCACCCACCCACCCACCCACTCACCCACTCACACACCCACCCACCCACCCTCCCACTCACCCACACACTCACCCACTCACCCACCCTCCCACTCACCCACTCACTCACCCACCCACCCACCCTCCCACTCATCCACTCACCCACCCACTCACTCACTCACCCACTCACTCACTCACCCACCCACTCACTCACTCACCCACTCACCCACTCACACACCCACCCACTCACCCACTCACTCACTCACCCACCCACCCACTGTCACCACCTCTCCCTCCCCACAGATCTATGACAATGCGATGATCACGGCGGGTCTCTACGGAGACGCTCGACTGATGGTCTCACGTCTCAACAGGCTCCTCGAGCGAGCACTCAAACACACTCGCTCCTAGCGAGCACTCAAACACACTCGCTCCTAGCAGGGCACTCAAACACACTCGCTCCTCGAGCGAGCACTCAAACACACTCGCTCCTAGCGAGCACTCAAACACACTCGCTCCTAGCGAGCACTCAAACACACTCGCTCCTAGCGAGCACTCAAACACACTCGCTCCTAGCGAGCACTCAAACACACTCGCTCCTCGAGCGAGCACTCAAACACACTCGCTCCTAGCGAGCACTCAAACACACTCGCTCCTAGCAGGGCACTCAAACACACTCGCTCCTAGCGAGCACTCAAACACACTCGCTCCTAGCAGGGCACTCAAACACACTCGCTCCTAGCGAGCACTCAAACACACTCGCTCCTAGCGAGCACTCAAACACGCTCGCTCCTAGCGAGCACTCAAACACACTCGCTCCTAGCGAGCACTCAAACACACTCGCTCCTAGCGAGCACTCAAACACACTCGCTCCTAGCGAGCACTCAAACACACTCGCTCCTCGAGCGAGCACTCAAACACACTCGCTCCTAGCGAGCACTCAAACACACTCGCTCCTAGCGGGGCCTTGCTGACACACTCGCTCCTAGCGAGCACTCAAACACGCTCGCTCCTAGCAGGGCACTCAAACACACTCGCTCCTAGCGAGCACTCAAACACACTCGCTCCTAGCGAGCACTCAAACACACTCGCTCCTAGCGAGCACTCAAACACACTCGCTCCTAGCGAGCACTCAAACACACTCGCTCCTAGCAGGGCACTCAAACACACTCGCTCCTAGCGAGCACTCAAACACACTCGCTCCTAGCGAGCACTCAAACACACTCGCTCCTCGAGCGAGCACTCAAACACACTCGCTCCTCGAGCGAGCACTCAAACACACTCGCTCCTAGCGAGCACTCAAACACACTCGCTCCTAGCGAGCACTCAAACACACTCGCTCCTAGCGAGCACTCAAACACGCTCGCTCCTAGCGAGCACTCAAACACGCTCGCTCCTCGAGCGAGCACTCAAACACACTCGCTCCTAGCGAGCACTCAAACACACTCGCTCCTAGCGAGCACTCAAACACACTCGCTCCTAGCGAGCACTCAAACACACTCGCTCCTAGCAGGGCCTCGCTGACACACTCGCTCCTAGCGAGCACTCAAACACACTCGCTCCTCGAGCGAGCACTCAAACACACTCGCTCCTAGCGAGCACTCAAACACACTCGCTCCTAGCGGGGCCTCGCTCGCTCCTAGCGAGCACTCAAACACACTCGCTCCTAGCGAGCACTCAAACACGCTCGCTCCTAGTGGGGCCTTGCTGACACACTCGCTCCTAGCGGGGCCTCGCTCGCTCCTAGTGGGGCCTTGCTGACACACTCGCTCCTAGCGGGGCCTCGCTCGCTCCTAGCGGGGCCTTGCTGACACACTCGCTCCTAGCGGGGCCTTGCTGACACACTCGCTCCTAGCGGGGCCTCGCTGACACACTCGCTCCTAGCGGAGCCTCGCTGACACACTCGCTCCTAGCGGGGCCTCGCTGACACACTCGCTCCTAGTGGGGCCTTGCTGACACACTCGCTCCTAGTGGGGCCTCGCTGACACACTCGCTCCTAGCGGGGCCTTGCTGACACACTCGCTCCTAGCGGGGCCTTGCTGACACACTCGCTCCTAGTGGGGCCTCGCTGACACACTCGCTCCTAGTGAGGCCTCGCTGACACACTCGCTCCTAGTGGGGCCTCGCTGACACACTCGCTCCTAGCGGGGCCTTGCTGACACACTCGCTCCTAGTGGGGCCTCGCTGACACACTCGCTCCTAGCGGGGCCTTGCTGACACACTCGCTCCTAGCGGGGCCTTGCTGACACACTCGCTCCTAGTGGGGCCTCGCTGACACACTCGCTCCTAGTGAGGCCTCGCTGACACACTCGCTCCTAGTGGGGCCTCGCTGACACACTCGCTCCTAGCGGGGCCTTGCTGACACACTCGCTCCTAGTGGGGCCTCGCTGACACACTCGCTCCTAGCGGGGCCTTGCTGACACACTCGCTACTAGTGGGGCCTCGCTGACACACTCGCTCCTAGCGGGGCCTTGCTGACACACTCGCTCCTAGTGGGGCCTCGCTGACACACTCGCTCCTAGCGGGGCCTTGCTGACACACTCGCTCCTAGTGGGGCCTTGCTGACACACTCGCTCCTAGTGGGGCCTTGCTGACACACTCGCTCCTAGTGAGGCCTTGCTGACACACTCGCTCCTAGCGGGGCCTTGCTGACACACTCGCTCCTAGTGAGGCCTTGCTGACACACTCGCTCCTAGAGGGGCCTCGCCATCGCTACACCATCACAGCCGCTACACCACCACCACCGCTACACCACCACCACAGCTACTACACCGCCACCGCTACACCACCACCACCGCTACACCGCCACCACTACTACACCACCACCACCGCTACACCACCACCGCTACTACACCACCACCGCTACACCACCGCTACACCATCACAGCTACTACACCACCACCGCTACCACACCACCGTTACTACACCATCACCACCGCTACTACACCACCACCACCGCTACACCACCATCACAGCTACACCACCACCACTACTACACCACCACCACAGCTACACCACCACCACAGCTACACCACCACCGCTACTACAACACCACCGCTACACCACCATAGCTACACCACCACCACCACTGCTGCACCACCACCGCTACTACACCACCACCGCTACACCACCACCGCTACACCACCGCTACACCACCACCACCGCTACTACATCACCACCGCTACTACACCACCACCACCGCTACACCACCACCGCTACTACACCACCACCACCGCTACACCACCACCACCGCTACACCACCGCTACACCACCACCGCTACACCACCACCGCTACACCACAACTACCGCTACACCACCACCACCGCAGCTACACCACCACTACACCACCACAGCACCACCACCGCAGCTACACTACCACCACCACTACACCAGGTAACTTCATTTGAGGCTGAGTCGACCTAGGGGAGGCCCAGGATACCGGTTCAGATAATCGCTGTCACTGGCGGTGTTTGCCGTGAGCGGGAATCGAACTCGGGTCGCCGGGTTCGTAGCGCAGCGTAGCGCTAACCACAACACCCACCACTCCCCGCAGAGACGGTGAGGACAAAGCTGCTGGGTTTAAATAAAAAAAATCTTCTGGAAGATGTCTGAGATAAAACATCTTAAAGTGATGGTGGTGGTGAGTCTATGGTGGTGGTGGTGGTGAGTCTATGGTGGTGGTGGTGAGTCTATGGTGGTGGTGGTGAGTCTATGGTGGTGGTGGTGAGTCTGTGGTGGTGGTGAGTCTATGGTGGTGGTGGTGAGTCTATGGTGGTGGTGGTGAGTCTATGGTGGTGGTGGTGGTGAGTCTATGGTGGTGGTGAGTCTATGGTGGTGGTGAGTCTATGGTGGTGGTGGTGGTGAGTCTGTGGTGGTGGTGAGTCTATGGTGGTGGTGGTGAGTCTGTGGTGGTGGTGGTGAGTCTGTGGTGGTGAGTCTATGGTGGTGGTGGTGAGTCTGTGGTGGTGGTGAGTCTATGGTGGTGGTGGTGGTGAGTCTATGGTGGTGGTGGTGAGTCTGTGGTGGTGGTGGTGGTGAGTCTATGGTGGTGGTGAGTCTATGGTGGTGGTGGTGGTGGTGAGTCTATGGTGGTGGTGGTGAGTCTGTGGTGGTGGTGGTGGTGAGTCTATGGTGGTGGTGGTGAGTCTATGGTGGTGGTGGTGAGTCTGTGGTGGTGGTGAGTTTATGGTGGTGGTGGTGAGTCTATGGTGGTGGTGGTGGTGAGTCTATGGTGGTGGTGGTGAGTCTGTGGTGGTGGTGGTGGTGAGTCTATGGTGGTGGTGGTGGTGAGTCTATGGTGGTGGTGGTGGTGAGTCTATGGTGGTGGTGGTGGTGAGTCTATGGTGGTGGTGAGTCTGTGGTGGTGGCGGTGAGTCTGTGGTGGTGGCGGTGAGTCTATGGTGGTGGTGGTGAGTCTATGGTGGTGGTGAGTCTATGGTGGTGGTGGTGAGTCTATGGTGGTGGTGGTGAGTCAGTGGTGGTGGTGAGTCAGTGGTGGTGGTGAGTCTATGGTGGTGGTGGTGAGTCTGTGGTGGTGGTGAGTCTATGGTGGTGGTGAGTTTATGGTGGTGGTGGTGAGTCTATGGTGGTGGTGGTGAGTCTATGGTGGTGGTGGTGAGTCTGTGGTGGTGGTGAGTCTATGGTGGTGGTGGTGAGTCTATGGTGAGGGTGGTGGTGAGTCTATGGTGGTGGTGAGTCTATGGTGGTGGTGGTGAGTCTATGGTGGTGGTGGTGGTGAGTCTATGGTGGTGGTGAGTCTATGGTGGTGGTGGTGAGTCTCTGGTGGTGGTGGTGAGTGTGGTGGTGGTGAGTCTCTGGTGGTGGTGGTGAGTCTGTGGTGGTGAGTCTATGGTGGTGGTGGTGAGTCTATGGTGGTGGTGGTGAGTCTATGGTGGTGGTGAGTCTATGGTGGTGGTGGTGAGTGTGGTGGTGGTGAGTCAGTGGTGGTGGTGGTGAGTCTATGGTGATGGTGAGGAGTCTATGGTGGTGAGTCTATGGTGGTGGTGGTGAGTCTATGGTGAGGGTGGTGAGTCTATGGTGGTGGTGGTGAGTCTATGGTGGTGGTGGTGAGTCTATGGTGAGGGTGGTGAGTCTATGGTGAGGGTGGTGAGTCTATGGTGGTGGTGGTGGTGAGTCTGTGGTGGTGGTGGTGAGTCTATGGTGGTGGTGAGTCTATGGTGGTGGTGGTGAGTCTATGGTGGTGGTGGTGAGTCTATGGTGGTGGTGGTGGTGGTGAGTCTGTGGTGGTGGTGGTGGTGAGTCTATGGTGGTGGTGGTGAGTCTATGGTGGTGGTGGTGAGTCTATGGTGAGGGTGGTGAGTCTATGGTGAGGGTGGTGAGTCTATGGTGGTGGTGGTGAGTCTATGGTGGTGGTGGTGAGTCTATGGTGGTGGTGGTGAGTCTATGGTGGTGGTGAGTCTATGGTGGTGGTGAGTCTATGGTGAGGAGTCTATGGTGAGGGTGGTGAGTCTATGGTGGTGGTGGTGGTGAGGGTGACCGTCCTGAGTCTATGGGAAGCGCGTAGCGAGGTGACGTCACCACGCCATCCTACGCGCTGACGTCACGAGCGGGAGACGTCACCGCGCACACGAAGCTCATCGCCAGTGCGTAGCGTGGTGACGTCACCACGCCACCCTGCGCGCCGTGACGTCACGAGCCCGGGACGTCACCGCGCGCACGCGGAGGCAACGACGCTCATCGGCCAACGCGTAGCGTGGTGACGTCATTGTGACGCGCTGACGTCACGGGGCGGTTTTCCCGCCAAAAAGGTTGGAGGAGTCGGGCGCTTCTCCATTGTCGAGCGACGGTGGGGAGGGGGAGAGGGTGGGGGGAGGATGGAAGGGGGAGGAGTTTGGGGGGGGGAGGGGGTTGGAGTTTTGGGGGGAGGAGTTTGAGGTGGGAGGGGGAGGAGTTTGAGGAAAGGGGGGAGGATGGGAGGGGGAGGAGTTTAAGGTGGGAGGAGTTTGAGGACGGCCGGGTGGGAGAGGGAGGAGTTTGAGGAGAGGGGGGGGGGAGGATGGGAGGAGTTTGAGGTGGGAGGGGTTTGAGGGGGGAGGGGGAGGAGTTTAAGGAGGGTGGGTAGTTTAAGAAGGGTGGGAGGGGGAGGAGTTTTACGAGAGGGGGGAGGAGTTTGGGGGAGGAGTTTCAGGAGCGGGGAGGATGGGAGGAGTTTGAAGGGAGGGGGAAGAGTTTGAGGGTGGTAGGGGGAGGAGTTTGAGGGGAGGATTTTAAGGTGGGAGGGGGAGGAGTTTGAGGAGGGCGGGTGGAAGAGGGCGGAGTTTGAGAGGGGGGAGGATGGGAGGAGTTTGAGGTGGGAGGGTTTTGAGGGGGGAGGTGAGAGAAGTTTGAGAGGAGGGTGGGAGGGGGAGGAGTTTAACGAGAGGGGGGAGGGGGAGGAGTTTGGGGGAGGGGGAAGAGTTTGAGGAGGCTGGGGAGGAGTTTGAGAAGGGGAGGATGGGAGGGGGCGGAGTTTGAGGGAGGGGGAGGAGTTTGAGAGGGGGGGAAGGAGGGGGAGGTGTTTTGACAGTGGGGAGAGGGGGAGGAGATAAGGGAGAGGGGGAGGAGAGAGTGGGGAGAGGGGGTGGAGAGAGGGGAGGAGTTTAGGGAGAGGGGGAGGAGTTTAGAGAGAAGGGAGTTTAGGGAGAGTGTGGGAGAGTGTGGGAGAGGGGGGGTGGAGAGAGGGGGGGTGGAGAGAGGGGGAGTGGAGAGAGGGGGAGTGGAGAGAGGGGGAGTGGAGAGAGGGGGAGGAGTTTAGGGAGAGGGGGCGGAGTTTAGGGAGAGGGGGAGGAGATAGTGGGGAGGGGGAGGAGTTTAGGGAGAGGAGAGAGTGGGGAGAGGTAAAGGGGGTGGGGGAGGGGCAGGCTGAGCCCCCCCCCCACCTTCATCTTTTCCGCTTTCCCGCGCTTTTTTAAGTTGATTTTTACAAAAAAAAAGCCAATCAAAACAACGACGACGACTCCTCATCGATCTCCAGGCCTCGTCATCGATACACCCTCCTCATCCATCGATCTCTCCTCATCGATTACCTTCCCTCCTTCATCCATCTCTCCCCATTGATCGATCCCCTCCCCCCCCCCCACATTCGATTACTCATCGATCTCTCGCCCTCCTTCGTCGTCTCTCATCATCATCGATCTCCTCATCCATCCCATCATCGATCTCCCTCCTCAGCCGTCTCCCCCTCATCGATCCCCCCTCCTCATTGATCTCCTATCGAGCTCTTCCACGTTGATCTCTCTCCTGGTCGATCTCCACTCATAGATCTCCACTCATCGATCACTACTCATCGATCTCCCCTTCTCATCGATCTCCCCTTCTCTTCGATCTCCCCTTCTCATCGATCTCCCCTACTCATCGATCTTCCCTGCTCATCGATCTCCTCATCGATCTCCCCTCCTCATCGATCTCCCCTCATCGATCTCCCCTACTCGTCGATCTTCCCTCCTCATCGATCTCCTCATCGATCTCCGCTCCTCATCGATCTCCCCTACTCGTCGATCTTCCCTCCTCATCGATCTCCCCTCATCGATCTCCCCTCATCGATCTCCCCTACTCATCGATCTTCCCTCCTCATCGATCTCCTCATCGATCTCCCCTCCTCATCGATCTCCCCTCCTCATCGATCTCCCCTCATCGATCTCCCCTACTCGTCGATCTTCCCTCCTCGATCTCCCCTTCTCATCGATCTCCCCTCCTCATCGATCTCCCCTCCTCATCGATCTCCCCTCCTCATCGATCTCCCCTCATCGATCTTCCCTACTCGTCGACCTCCCCTCCTCATCGATCTTCCCTCCTCATCGATCTTCCCTTCTCATCGATCTCCCCTACTCGTCGATCTTCCCTACTCGTCGATCTCCCCTCATCGATCTCCCCTCCTCATCGATCTCCCCTCATCGATTTCCTCATCGATCTCCTCATCGACCTCCCCTCTTCATCGACCTCCCCTCCTCATCGATCTCCCGCTCGCTCGCTCCGCAGCCTCCTCCACTGCGAGGCGAGAGACGGCGGCTTCGGCGGACTCCATTTGGTGCTGCTGCTGCTACTGGTGGTGGTGGTGAGGACGACGACGGTGTGGTTGTGGTGTTGTTGTGGTGGTGCTGTTGTGTTGTGGTGGTTGTTGTGGTGGTGGTGGTGGTGTTGTGTTGTTGTGGTGGTGCTGCTGTTGTTGTTGTGGTGGTTGTTGTGGTGGTGGTGGTGGTGCTGCTGCTGTTGTGGTGGTGAGGACGACGACGTGGTGTGGTGATGGTGGTGGTGCTGTTGTGTTGTTGTGGTGGTGGTGGTTGTTGTGTGGTGGTGAGCACGACGACGTGGTGCTGCTGTTGTTGTGGTGGTGGTGTTGTTGTGGTGGTTGTTGTGGTGGTGCTGTTGTGTTGTTGTGGTGGTGGTGGTGGTTGTGTTGTGGTGGTGGTGGTTGTTGTGTTGTGGTGGTGGTGGTAGTGGTGCTGCTGTTGTGGTGGTGAGGATGACGACGTGGTGCTGCTGTTGTTGTTGTGGTGGTGTTGTTGTTGTGGTGGTGGTTGTGGTGGTGGTGCTGTTGTGGTGGCAAGGTCTTTTGTTGTTGTTATGGTAGTGATGGGGAGGTGATGGTGGTAGTGATGGTGATGATGGTAGTGATGCTGGTGATGGTGGTGATGATGGTGGTGATGGTGGTGATGATGGTAGTGATGCTGGTGATGGTGGTGATGATGGTAGTGATGGTGATGATGATGGTAGTGATGGTGATGATGGCGGTGGTGAGGGTAGTGATGATGATGGTAGTGATGGTGATGGTGGTAGTGATAGTGATGATGGTGGTAGTGATGGTGATGATGATGGTGATGATGGTAGTGATGATGTTGATGGTGGTGATGATGGTGATGATGATGGTAGTGATGGTGATGATGTTGATGATGATGGTAGTGATGGTGGTGATGATGATGATGGTGGTGATGGTGGTAGTGATGATGGTAGTGATGGTGGTGGTGATGATGATGGTGATGATAGTAGTGGTGGTGATGATGATGGTGATGATAGTAGTGATGGTGATGATGTTGATGATGGTGGTAGTGATGGTAGTGATAGTGATGATAGTAGTGATGCTGATGATGTTGATGATGGTAGTAGTGATGGTAGTGATGGTGATGATGGTAGTGATGCTGATGATGTTGATGATGGCGGTGGTGATGGTAACCGATGTAGCGGGTGAGGGGAGAGATAACGGAGAGATGTTGAGGGGGGAGATGAGGTAACGAGGCAACTGACGAGGTGACGAGGGAGGTAACTAACGAGGTGACGAGGTAACTAACGAGGTGACGAGGTGACGAGGGAGGTAACTAACGAGGTGACGAGGTAACTGAAGAGGTGACGAGGGAGGTAACTAACGAGATAACGAGGTGACGAGGGAGGTAACTAACGAGGTGACGAGGGAGGTAACTAACGAGATAACGAGGTGACGAGGGAGGTAACTAACGAGGTGACGAGGTAACTAACGAGGTGACGAGGGAGCGCGTGAGGCAAGGGAAAGGCCTCGACTCGTGCCTAGGCCCCAGGCCGTTGCCGCTGAAGCCGGGTGGTGGTGGTGATTGTGGTGATTGTTGTGGTGGTGATTGTGGTGATTGTTGTGGTGGTGATTGTTGTGGTGGTGGTGATTGTTGTTGTAGTGGTGGTGATTGTGGTGATTGTTGTTGTGGTGGTGATTGTTGTTGTGGTGGTGGTGATTGTGGTGGTTGTTGTTGTGGTGGTGATTGTTGTTGTGGTGGTGGTGATTGTGGTGGTTGTTGTTGTGGTGGTGATTGTTGTTGTGGTGGTGGTGATTGTGGTGGTTGTTGTTGTGGTGATTGTTGTTGTGGTGGTGATTGTTGTGGTAGTGGTGGTGATTGTGGTGATTGTTGTTGTGGTGGTGATTGTTGTGGTGGTGGTGATTGTTGTTGTTGTGGTGATTGTTGTTGTGGTGGTGGTGATTGTGGTGGTTGTTGTTGTGGTGATTGTTGTTGTGGTGGTGATTGTTGTGGTAGTGGTGGTGATTGTGGTGATTGTTGTTGTGGTGGTGATTGTTGTGGTGGTGGTGATTGTTGTTGTGGTGGTGGTGATTGTTGTTGTGGTGGTGATTGTGGTCGTTGTTGTGGTGGTGATTGTTGTTGTGGTGGTGATTGTTGTTGTGGTGGTGGTGATTGTTGTTGTGGTGATTGTTGTTGTGGTGGTGATTGTTGTGGTGGTGATTGTTGTTGTGGTGGTGATTGTTGTTGTGGTGGTGATTGCTGTGGTGGTGATTGTTGTGGTGGTGGTTGTTGTGGTGGTGGTTGTTGTGGTGGTTGTGGTTGTTGTGGTGGTGGTTGCGGTGGTGATTGTTGTGGTGGTGATTGTTGTGGTGGTGGTGGTGATTGTTGTTGTGGTGATTGTGGTCGTTGTTGTGGTGATTGTTGTTGTGGTCGTTGTTGTGGTCGTTGTTGTGGTGGTTGTTGTTGTGGTCGTTGTTGTGGTTGTTGTGGTGATTGTTGTTGTGGTCGTTGTTGCGGTGGTTGTTGTTGTGGTCGTTGTTGTGGTTGTTGTGGTGATTGTTGTGGTGGTGGTGATTGTTGTTGTGGTGATTGTTGTTGTGGTGGTGATTGTTGTTGTGGTTGTGGTGGTGGTGATTGTTGTTGTGGTGGTTGTGGTCGTTGTTGTGGTGATTGTTGTGGTGGTGGTGATTGTTGTTGTGGTGGTGGTGATTGTGGTGGTTGTTGTTGTGGTGATTGTTGTTGTGGTGGTGATTGTTGTGGTAGTGGTGGTGATTGTGGTGATTGTTGTTGTGGTGGTGATTGTTGTGGTGGTGATTGTTGTTGTTGTGGTGATTGTTGTTGTGGTGGTGGTGATTGTGGTGGTTGTTGTTGTGGTGATTGTTGTTGTGGTGGTGATTGTTGTGGTAGTGGTGGTGATTGTGGTGATTGTTGTTGTGGTGGTGATTGTTGTGGTGGTGGTGATTGTTGTTGTGGTGGTGGTGATTGTTGTTGTGGTGGTGATTGTGGTCGTTGTTGTGGTGGTGATTGTTGTTGTGGTGGTGATTGTTGTTGTGGTGGTGGTGATTGTTGTTGTGGTGATTGTTGTTGTGGTGGTGATTGTTGTGGTGGTGATTGTTGTTGTGGTGGTGATTGTTGTTGTGGTGGTGATTGCTGTGGTGGTGATTGTTGTGGTGGTGGTTGTTGTGGTGGTGGTTGTTGTGGTGGTTGTGGTTGTTGTGGTGGTGGTTGCGGTGGTGATTGTTGTGGTGGTGATTGTTGTGGTGGTGGTGGTGATTGTTGTTGTGGTGATTGTGGTCGTTGTTGTGGTGATTGTTGTTGTGGTCGTTGTTGTGGTCGTTGTTGTGGTGGTTGTTGTTGTGGTCGTTGTTGTGGTTGTTGTGGTGATTGTTGTTGTGGTCGTTGTTGCGGTGGTTGTTGTTGTGGTCGTTGTTGTGGTTGTTGTGGTGATTGTTGTGGTGGTGGTGATTGTTGTTGTGGTGATTGTTGTTGTGGTGGTGATTGTTGTTGTGGTTGTGGTGGTGGTGATTGTTGTTGTGGTGGTTGTGGTCGTTGTTGTGGTGATTGTTGTGGTGGTGGTGATTGTTGTTGTGGTGGTTGTGGTCGTTGTTGTGGTGATTGTTGTTGTTGTGGTGGTGGTTGTTGTTGTGGTGGTGATTGTTGTGGTTGTGGTGGTGATTGTTGTGGTCGTTGTTGTGATGATTGTTGTGGTGGTTGTGGTCGTTGTTGTGGTGGTTATTGTGGTGGTCGTGGTTGTTGTGGTTGTGTTTGTTGTGGTTGTGTTCGTTGTGGTGGTCGTTGTTGTGGTGATTGTTGTGGACGTTGTGGTGGTGGTGGTCGTTGTTGTGGTGGTGATTGTTGTGATCGTTGTTGCGGTGGTTGTTGTTGTGGTCGTTGTTGTGGTTGTTGTGGTGATTGTTGTGGTGGTGGTGATTGTTGTTGTGGTGATTGTTGTTGTGGTGGTGATTGTTGTTGTGGTTGTGGTGGTGGTGATTGTTGTTGTGGTGGTTGTGGTCGTTGTTGTGGTGATTGTTGTGGTGGTGGTGATTGTTGTTGTGGTGGTTGTGGTCGTTGTTGTGGTGATTGTTGTTGTTGTTGTGGTGGTGGTTGTTGTTGTGGTGGTGATTGTTGTGGTTGTGGTGGTGATTGTTGTGGTCGTTGTTGTGATGATTGTTGTGGTGGTTGTGGTCGTTGTTGTGGTGGTTATTGTGGTGGTCGTGGTTGTTGTGGTTGTGTTTGTTGTGGTTGTGTTCGTTGTGGTGGTCGTTGTTGTGGTTGTTGTGGTGGTGGTTGTGGTGGTGGTGATTGTTATTGTGGTGATTGTTGTTGTGGTGGTGATTGTTGTTGTGGTGGTTGTGGTCGTTGTTGTGGTGATTGTTGTTGTTGTGGTTGTTGTTGTGGTGGTGATTGTTGTGGTTGTGGTGGTGATTGTTGTGGTCGTTGTTGTGATGATTGTTGTGGTGGTTGTGGTCGTTGTTGTGGTGGTTATTGTGGTGGTCGTGGTTGTTGTGTTTGTTGTGGTTGTGTTCGTTGTGGTGGTCGTTGTTGTGGTGATTGTTGTGGACGTTGTGGTGGTGGTGGTCGTTGTTGTGGTGGTGATTGTTGTGATCGTTGTTGTTGTGGTCATTGTTGTGGTCGTTGTTGTTGTGGTGGTGGTGATTGTTATGGTCGTTGTTGTGGTGATTGTTGTGGTTGTTGTGGTGGTTGTTGTGGTCGTTGTGGTGGTGGTTGTTGTGGTCGTTGTTGTGGTGGTGTTCGTTGTTGTGGTCGTTGTGGTGGTTGTGGTGGTGGTTGTTGTGGTTGTGGTGGTTGTTGTGGTCGTTGTTGTGGTGGTTGTGGTGGTTGTTGTGGTTGTGGTGGTTGTTGTGGTCGTTGTTGTGGTGGTTGTGGTGGTGGTTGTGGTGGTTGTGATGGACATGGTTGTTGTGATGAGTGTGGTGGTGGTTGTTGTGGTCGTTGTTGTGGTGGTTGTGGTGGTGGTTGTAATGATCGTTGTTGTTGTGATGGTTGTGCTTGTTGTGGTGGTTGTTGTGATGGACATGGTTGTTGTGATGAGTGTGGTGGTGGTTGTTGTGGTCGTTGTGGTTGTGGTGGTTGTTGTGGTCGTTGTTGTGGTGGTTGTTGTGGTCGTTGTGGTTGTGGTGGTTGTTGTGGTCCTTGTGATGGTTGTGGTCGTGGAGGTTGTTGTGATGGTTGTAGACGTGGTTGTGATGGTTGTTGTTGTGGTCGTTGTTGATGGTTGTGGTGATTGCAGTCGTTGGGATGTTGTTGTGATGGTTGTGCTTGTTGTGGTGGTTGTGATGGTTGTTGTGATGATCGTTGTGGTTGTGATGGTTGTTGCCGTTGTTGTGATGGTTGTGGTCGTTGTGTTTGTTGTTGTGATGGACATGGTTGTTGTGGTGAGTGTGGTGGTGGTGGTTGTTGTGGTGGTTGTTGTGGTCGTTGTTGTTGTGATGGTTGTGGTTGTTGTGATGATCGTTGTTGTGATGGTTGTGCTTGTTGTGGTGGTTGTGATGGTTGTTGTGATGATCGTTGTGGTTGTGATGGTTGTTGCCGTTGTTGTGATGGTTGTGGTTGTTGTGTTTGTGAAGGTGGTTGTCGTGGTTGTTGTGTTTGTTGTTGTGATGGTTGTTGATGTTGTGATGGTTGTGGTCGTTGAGGTTGTGATGGTTGTGGTTGTTGTGATGATCGTTGTGGTTGTTGTGATGATCGTTGTTGTGATGGTTGTGCTTGTTGTGGTGGTTGTTGTGATGGACATGGTTGTTGTGATGAGTGTGGTTGTTTTGGTGGTTGTGATGGTCGGTTTGATGGTTGTTGTAGTACTGATGTTGTGATGGTTGTTGTGATGGTTGTTGGTGGTCGTTGTTGTTGATGTAATGGTTATTGTTGTGATGATCGTTGTTGTGATGGTTGTGGTTGTTGTGATGGTTGTAGTGGTTGTGATGGTTGTGGTTGCAGTCATGGTTGTGATCGTTGTTATGGTTGTTGTGGTTGTAGTCGTGGGTGGTTGTGGTGCTTGTGGTTATATTGTAGTGGTGGTGGTTGTGTTTATAATGTAGTTGTGGTTATATTGTAGTGGTGGTGGTTATAATGAGGTGTTATTGTTGTGGTTATATTGTAGTGGTGGTGGTTATAATGAGGTGTTATTGTTGTGGTTATATTGTAGTGGTGGTGGTTATAATGAGGTGTTGTGGTTATATTGTAGTAGTGGTTATAATGAGGTGTTGTGGTTATATTGTAGTGGTGGTGGTTATAATGAGGTGTTGTGGTTATATTGTAGTAGTTGTTATAATGAGGTGTTGTGGTTATATTGTAGTAGTGGTTATAATGAGGTGTTGTGGTTATATTGTAGTGGTGGTGGTTATAATGAGGTGTTGTGGTTGTGGTTATATTGTGGTGGTGGTGGTTATAATGAGGTGTTGTGGTTATATTGTAGTGGTGGTTGTGGTTATAATGAGGTGTTGTTGTGGTTATATTGTAGTGGTGGTGGTTATAATGAGGTGTTGTGGTTATATTGTAGTGGTGGTGGTTGTTATAATGAGGTGTTGTGGTTATATTGTAGTGGTGGTTATAATGAGGTGTTGTGGTTATATTGTAGTGGTGGTGGTTATAATGAGGTGTTGTGGTTATATTGTAGTGGTGGTGGTTATAATGAGGTGTTGTGGTTGTGGTTATATTGTGGTGGTGGTGGTGGTTATAATGAGGTGTTGTGGTTATATTGTAGTGGTGGTGGTTATAATGAGGTGTTGTGGTTATATTGTAGTGGTGGTGGTTATAATGAGGTGTTGTTGTGGTTATATTGTAGTGGTGGTGGTTATAATGAGGTGTTGTTGTGGTTATATTGTAGTGATGGTGGTTATAATGAGGTGTTGTGGTTGTGGTTATATTGTAGTGGTGGTGGTTATAATGAGGTGTTGTGGTTATATTGTAGTAGTGGTTATAATGAGGTGTTGTGGTTATATTGTGGTGGTGGTGGTTATAATGAGGTGTTGTGGTTATATTGTAGTGGTGGTGGTTATAATGAGGTGTTGTGGTTATATTGTAGTGGTGGTGGTTATAATGAGGTGTTGTGGTTGTGGTTATATTGTAGTGGTGGTGGTTGTTATAATGAGGTGTTGTGGTTATATTGTAGTAGTGGTAGTGGTTATAATGAGGTGTTGTGGTTATATTGTAGTAGTGGTAGTGGTTATAAGGAGGTGTTGTGGTTATATTGTAGTGGTGGTGGTTATAATGAGGTGTTGTGGTTATATTGTAGTGATGGTGGTTATAATGAGGTGTTGTGGTTATATTGTAGTGGTGGTGGTGGTTATAATGAGGTGTTGTGGTTATATTGTAGTGGTGGTGGTTATAATGAGGTGTTGTGGTTATATTGTAGTGATGGTGGTGGTTATAATGAGGTGTTGTGGTTATATTGTAGTGGTTATAGTTGTGGTTATAATGAGGTGTTGTGGTTATGTGGTGGTTGTGGTTTTAATGTGGTGGTTATTTTGTCACGATTTGATTATCACATTAGTTGTGTTGGTTGTGGTTGTTGTTGGTTGTAATTGATGGTAGTTGTTGATGGTTGTTGTTGTTGCAGACGGTTGTTGTAGTGGTTGTTGTTGGTTGTAGTTGTTGATGATTATTGTGGTTTTTGTTGATGCTTGTTGTTGTGATGGGTGTGATGTTGGTGTTGATGATGGCTGTTGTTGTTATGGTTGTTGTTGTTGTTATTATGGTTGTTGGTGGATGTGGTTGCTGATTGTTGTGGTTGTTGTTGACGGTTGTTGATGATTGCTGACGGCTGTTGTTTTGATGGGTGTTGTTGATCGTTGCTGGTGGTTGTTGTGATGCTTGTTGTTATGGTTGTTGGTGGATGTGGTTGTTGACGTTGTTGTTGACGGTTGTTGTTGTGGTTGTTAATGGTTGTTGTGGTGGTCATTTTTTAATGGTCGGTGGTGGTTTTTGTTGATGGTTGTTGTTGTTGTTAGTTGTGGTTGTTGATGGTTGTTGTGGTTGTTGTGGTTGTTGATGGTTGTTGTTAGTTGTGGTTGTTGATGGTTGTAGTCGTGGTTGTTGCTGGTTGTTGCTATGGTGGTTGATGGTTGTGGTTTTTTGTTGTTGTTGTTGTTGTGATTGTTGTTGCAGGAGTGAGCTGCTATGGCTCACCACTGGCACTCAGCTTACAGCGGAGACGATGGCGGTGATGGCGGTGATGGTGGCCAAGATCAGCAATGGACTAAGGTCATCATCATCATCAGTAGTAGTAGTGTCATCATCAGTAGCAGTGTCATCATCATCAGTGTCATCATCATCAGTAACAGTGTCATCATCATCAGTAGTAGCAGTGTCATCATCATCAGTAGCAGTGTCATCATCATCAGTAGCAGTGTCATCATCATCATCATCAGTAGCAGTGTCATCATCATCATCAGTAGTAGTAGTGTCATCATCAGTAGCAGTGTCATCATCATCAGTGTCATCATCATCAGTAGCAGTGTCATCATCAGTATCAGTGTCATCATCATCAGTAGTAGTGTCATCATCAGTAGCAGTGTCATCATCATCAGTAGCAGTGTCATCATCATCAGTGTCATCATCACCATCAGTAAGTGTCATCATCATCATCAGCAGCAGTGTCGCTACAACTGATGATGATGATGACACTGCTACTGATGATGATGACACTACTACTACTGATGATGATGATGACACTGCTAATGATGATGATGATGACACTACTACTACTACTACTACTGATGATGATGACACTACTACTACTGATGATGATGACACTACTGATGATGATGACACTACTACTACTGATGATGATGACACTACTACTACTACTGATGATGATGATGACACTGCTAATGATGATGATGACACTACTACTACTGATGATGATGACACTACTACTACTGATGATGATGACACTACTGATGATGATGACACTACTACTACTGATGATGATGACACTACTACTACTGATGATGATGATGACACTGCTACTACTACTGATGCTGACACTACTACTACTACTACTGATGATGATGACACTACTACTACTGATGATGACACTACTACTACTGATGATGATGACACTACTACTGATGATGATGACACTACTACTACTGATGATGATGACACTACTACTACTGATGATGATGACACTACTACTACTGATGATGATGACACTACTACTACTGATGATGATGACACTACTACTACTGATGATGATGACACTACTACTACTGATGATGATGATGACACTACTACTACTACTGATGATGATGACACTACTACTACTGATGATGATGATGACACTGCTACTACTGATGATGATGATGATGACACTACTACTACTGATGATGATGACACTACTACTACTGATGATGATGACACTACTACTAATGATGATGATGACACTGCTACTACTACTGATGCTGACACTACTACTACTGATGATGATGACACTACTACTACTGATGATGATGACACTACTACTACTACTACTGATGATGATGATGACACTACTACTACTGATGATGATGACACTACTACTACTGATGATGATGACACTACTACTACTGATGATGATGACACTACTACTACTGATGATGATGACACTACTACTACTACTGATGATGATGATGATGATGACACTACTACTACTACTGATGATGATGATGACACTACTACTACTACTGATGATGATGATGACACTGCTACTACTACTGATGCTGACACTACTACTACTGATGATGATGACACTACTACTACTACTGATGATGATGACACTACTACTACTGATGATGATGATGATGACACTACTACTACTGATGATGATGATGACACTACTACTACTACTGATGATGATGACACTACTACTACTACTGATGATGATGACACTACTACTACTACTGATGATGATGATGACACTGCTACTGATGATGATGATGACACTGCTACTACTACTGATGATGATGATGATGACGCTACTACTACTGATGATGATGACACTGCTACTGATGATGATGATGATGACACTGATGATGATGACACTGATGATGATGATGATGACACTACTACTACTACTGATGATGATGATGACACTGATGATGATGATGACACTGCTGCTACAGATGTCCGCTACTACTGCTACTCCTGCTGCTACTACTGCCGCTGCTGATGATGCCACCACCACCACAACCACCACAACCACCACAACCACCACCACAACCACCACAACCACCGCCACCACCACCACGGCCACAATCTCCGCAGCCGCGTCCTCCCTCTAGGTCCGCTCCGTGATAACCGCTCCCTCCCTCCCCTCCCTCCCTGTCCCCTTTTCAATTCCCGCCGCTCAGTCCCCGGACACGGACCGCGACTACGACGACTTCTACGACGACTTCTACGACAGAGGCGGTGGAGGAGGTGGTGGAGGTGGTGGAGGCGGTGGTGGAGGCGGTGGTGGAGGCGGTGGTGGAGGCGGTGGTGGAGGCGGTGGTGGAGGCGGTGGTGGTGGTGTCAGGCCGAAGCAGCGGCACGTGGTGAAGATGGCGAGCGTGGTTGGAACAGGTGAGGTTGAACCTCGCTAACGTCACCGCCGCCATCACCACCACCACCACCACCACCGTCACCACCACCGTCACCATCACCACCACCACCATCACCACCACCACCGTCACCACCACTGTCACCACCACCACCACCGTCACCATCACCGCCATCACCACCACCACCGTCACCACCACCACCGTCACCATCACCGCCATCACCATCACCACCATCACCACCACCGTCACCACCACCACCACCGTCGCCACCACCACCGTCGCCACCATAATAACCACCATCACCACCACCACCGTCATCACTGTCACCACCACAACTACCACCACTGTCATCATCACCACCATCACCACCGCCACCATCATCACCACCATCATCACCACCATCACCACCATCGTCGCCACCACCACCATCATCGCCACCACCACCATCGTCACCACCATCATCACCACCACAACTACCACCACTGTCATCATCACCACCATCACCACCGCCACCATCATCACCACCATCATCACCACCATCACCACCATCGTCGCCACCACCACCATCGTCGCCACCACCACCATCGTCACCACCATGACCACCATCGTCACCATCGCCACCATCGTCACCACCATCACCACAACCACGATCATCACCACCATCATCACCACCACTGTCGCCATGTTGATGTGGTGGTGGTAGTTGTTGTTGTGGTTGATGTTGTTAATGATGTTGATGTGATTGTGGTGGTTGTTGATAATGTTGTGGTTGTCGTGGTGGTTGTTGATGATCCTGTTATTGTGGTTGTTGATGATGTTGATGTTATGGTGGATGTTGTTGTTGATGGTGTTGTTGTGGTTGTTGGTGATGTTGTGGTTATTGATGATGTTATTGTTGTGGTTGTTGATGATGATGCTGTGGTTGTTGATGTTGTTGTGGTTGTTGATGTTGTTGTGGTTGTTGATGTGGTTGTTGATGTTGTTGTGGTTGTTGATGTGGTTGTTGTTGATGTTGTGGTTGTCGATGATGTGGTGGTGGTTGTTGATCTTGTTGTTGATTTTGTGGTGGTTGATGGTGTTGTGTGTATCAAGGATGTGGTTGATGTTGTTGTGGTTGTTGTTGATGTTGTGGTTATTGATGTTATTGTTGTGGTTGTTGATGATGATGCTGTAGTTGTTGATGTTGTTGTGGTTGTTGATGTTGTGGTTGTCGATGATGTGGTGGTTGTTGATCTTGTTGTTGCTGTTGTGGTGGTTGATGATGTTGTGTTTATCAATGATGTGGTTGATGTTGTTGTTGTGGTTGTCGATGTGGTGGTGGTTGTTGATTTTGCTGATGTTGTTGTGGTTGTTGATGTTGTGTTCATCAATGATGTGGTTGATGTTGTTGTTGTGGTTGATGTTGATGTTGTCGATGATGTGGTGGTGGTTGTTGTGGCTGTTGTTGATGTTGTGGTGGTTGTTAATGATGATGTTGTGTTCATCAATGATGTGGTTGATGTTGTGGTTGTGGTTGATGTTGTGGTTGTCGATGATGTGGTGGTGGTGGTTGTTGTTGTTGTGGTTGTTGATGATGATGTGTTCATCAATGATGTGGTTGTTGTGGTTGATGTTGTCGATGATGTGGTGGTTGTTGTGGTTGTTGTTGATTTTGTAGTGGTTGATGTTGTTATGGTTGTTGTTGATGTTGTCGATGATGTGGTGGTGGTTGTAGTGGTTGATGTTGTTGTGGTTGTTGTTGAAGTGGTGGTTGTTGTTGATGTTGTGGTGGTTGTTGATGATGATGTTGTGTTTATCAATGATGTGGTTGTTGTTGTGGTTGTTGTTGATGTGGTGGTTGTTGTTGATGTGGTGGTTGTTGATGATGATTTTATGTTTATCAATGATGTGGTTGTTGATGTTGTGGTGGTTGTTGTTGGTTGTTGTTGTTGTTTTGGTTGTTGTTGATGTTGTGGTGGTTGTTGATGATGATGTTGTGTTTATCAATGATTTGGTTGTTGATGTTGTTGTGGTTGTTGTTGTTGTGGTTGATGTGGTTGTTGTTGATGTGGTTGTTGATGTTGTTGTCGTTGTTGTTGTGGTTGTGGTTGATGTTGTTGATGTGGTTGTTGTTGATGTGGTTCTTGATGTTGTTGTGGTTGTTGTGGTTGTTGTTGTGGTTGATGTTGTTGATGTGGTTGATGTGGTTGTTGATGTTGTTGTGGTTGTTGTGGTTGTTGATGTTGTTGTGGTTGTTGATGATGTTGTGTTTATCAATTATGTGGTTGTTGATGTTGTTGTGGTTGTTGTTGTTGTTGTGGTTGTTGTTGTGGTTGATGTGGTTGTTGTTGATGTGGTTGTTGATGTTGTTGTCGTTGTTGTTGTTGTTGTGGTTGATGTTGTTGATGTGGTTGTTGTTGATGTGGTTCTTGATGTTGTTGTGGTTGTTGTGGTTGTTGTTGTGGTTGTTGTGGTTGATGTTGTTGATGTGGTTGTTGATGTTGTTGATGTTGTTGTGGTTGTTGATGTTGTTGTGGTTGTTGAGGTTGTTGTGGTTGTTGATGTTGTTGTGGTTGTTGATGTTGTTGTGGTTGTTGATGTTGTTGTGGTTGTTGTTGTTGTAGCCGTGTGTGAGATGTGCGGAGTGTCAGGACAGCGTAGCGACTTCTTCTCCAAGAGCAAGCGCTTCTGCTCATCGTCCTGCTCACGCAGCTTCTCCTCAAACTCAAAGAAGTCGTCCATACTCGCTCGCCTGCAGGTCAGACGCCCGCTCGCTCACTCACCCGTTCACTCACTCGCTCGCTCACTCACTCACTCACTCGCTCACCGCTCACTCGCTCGCTCACTCACTCACTCACTCGGTCACTCACTCGCTCACCGCTCACTCACTCTCTCACTCGCTCACTCGCTCACTCGCTCACTCGCTCACTCGCTCGCTCACTCGCTCGCTCACTCACTCTCTCACTCACTCACTCTCTCACTCACTCGCTCACTCGCTCACCGCTCACTCACTTACCCGCTCACTCGCTCACCCGCTCGCTCACCCGCTCACTCACTCACCCACTCACCCGCTCACTCGCTCACTCACCCACTCACCCGCTCACTCACCCGCTCACCCACTCACTCACCCACTCACTCGCTCACCCACTCACTCACCTCACATCACCCACTCACTCTACCCGACCTCACTCACTCGCTCACCGCTCACTCCAACTCACCCGCTCACTCACTCACCCACTCACCCGACTCACCCGCTCGCTCACCCGGCTCACTCCACTTTCACTCCACTCACCGCTCACTCACCCTCACCGCTCACTCACCCCCACTCACTCACCCGCTCACTCACCCGCTCACCCACTCACTCACCCACTCACCCCCTCACCCCCTCACCCACTCACCCCCTCACCCACTCACTCACTCACTCCACCCGCTCACTCACTCCACCCGCTCACTCACTCCACCCGCTCACTCACTGACTCAACCAATCACATGTCTGTGTTTCTTTTCTCGCCCCCCCCATCCCCCCTGCCCCCCCCCTGCCCCCCCCCCCCCTGCCCCCCAGGGCAAGCCCCCCACTAAGAAGGCGAAGGTGCTGCAGAAAAAGGAGCTCACGGCCAAGATGGCGGCCCTGGCCAACCTACACTCAGGCCTCCTCACACACAGCAGCCTGTCTCACTCAGGCAAGTCCCTCTCACACCGTGTCTCTCTCACCGTGTCTCTCCGTGTGTCTCTCTCACCGTGTCTCTCTCACACCGTGTCTCTCTCACCATGTCTCTCTCACACCGTGTGTCTCTCTCACCGTGTCTCTCTCACCCTGTGTCTCACTCAGGCAAGTCTCTCTCTCACCATGTCTCTCTCTCACCATGACTCTCTCTCACCCTGTCTCTCTCTCACCGTGTCTCTCTCTCACCGTGTCTCTCTCTCACCATGTCTCTATCTCACCCTGTGTCTCTCTCGCACCGTGTCTCTCTGTCACCCTGTGTCTCCCTCTCACCCTGTGTCTCACTCAGGCAAGTCTCTCTCTCACCCTGTGTCTCTCACCGTGTCTCTCTCACCCTGTGTCTCTCTCAGGCAAGTCTCTCTCTCACCCGTGTCTCTCTCTCACCGTGTCTCTCTCACACCCTGTGTCTCTCTCACCCGTGTCTCTCCGTGTGTCTCTCACCGTGTCTCCCTCCCCCGTGTCTCTCTCTCACCGTGTCTCTCTCTCACCCATGTCTCTCTCACCGTGTCTCTCTCAGGCAAGTCTCTCTCTCACCCTGTGTCTCTCACTCACCCTGTGTCTCTCTCACCGTGTCTCTCTCTCACCGTGTCTCTCTCAGGCAAGTCTCTCTCTCCCCGTGTCTCTCTCAGGCAAGTCTCTCTCTCCCCGTGTCTCTCTCAGGCAAGTTTCTCTCCCCCCGTGTCTCTCTCACCCGTGTCTCTCTCCTCCCGTGTCTCTCTCACCGTGTATCTCGCTCACCGTGTGTCTCACTCAGGCAAGTCTCTCTCCCCCCGTGTCTCTCTCACCCGTGTCTCTCTCTCACCCTGTGTCTCACTCAGGCAAGTCTCTCTCTCACCGTGTCTCTCTCACCCGTGTCTCTCTCACCGTGTCTCTCTCACCCCGTGTCTCTCTCAGGCAAGTCTCTCTCTCGCCCGTGTCTTTCTCTCACCGTGTCTCCCTCAGGCAAGTCTCTCTCTCCCCGCGTGTCTCTCTCTCCCCGTGTCTCTCTCACCCCGTGTCTCTCTCACCCGTGTCTCTCTCTCACCCCGTGTCTCTCTCTCCCTGTGTCTCTCTCCCCGTGTCTCCCTCAGGCAAGTCTCTCTCTCACCGTGTCTCTCTCAGGCAAGTCTCTCTCTCCCCGTGTCTCTCTCACCCGTGTCTCTCTCCCCGCGTCTCTCTCTCCCCGTGTCTCTCTCTCACCGTGTCTCTCTCTCCCCGTGTCTCTCCCCGTGTCTCTCTCTCCCCGTGTCTCTCTCTCCCCGCGTGTCTCTCTCTCCCCGCGTGTCTCTCTCTCCCCGTGTCTCTCTCACCCCGTGTCTCTCTCACCCCGTGTCTCTCTCACCCGTGTCTCTCTCTCACCCCGTGTCTCTCTCTCCCCGTGTCTCTCTCCCCGTGTCTCCCTCAGGCAAGTCTCTCTCTCACCGTGTCTCTCTCAGGCAAGTCTCTCTCTCACCGTGTCTCTCTCACCCGTGTCTCTCTCACCGTGTCTCTCTCTCCCCGTGTCTCTCTCTCACCGTGTCTCTCTCTCTCACCGTGTCTCTCTCTCCCCGTGTCTCTCTCTCACCGTGTCTCTCTCTCCCCGTGTCTCACTCAGGCAAGTCTCTCTCTCCCCGTGTCTCTCTCTCCCCGTGTCTCTCTCACCCGTGTCTCTCTCACCCGTGTCTCTCTCACCCGTGTCTCTCTCACCGTGTCTCTCTCTCACCGTGTCTCTCCCTCCCCGTGTCTCTCTCACCGTGTCTCTCTCTCACCGTGTCTCCCTCCCCCCGTGTCTCTCTCTCCCCGTGTCTCTCCCTCCCCGTGTCTCTCCCTCCCCGTGTCTCTCCCTCCCCGTGTCTCCCTCCCCGTGTCTCTCCCTCCCCGTGTCTCTCTCTCACCCGTGTCTCTCTCCCCCCGTGTCTCCCTCCCCCCGTGTCTCTCTCTCCCCGTGTCTCTCCCTCCCCGTGTCTCCCTCCCCGTGTCTCTCCCTCCCCGTGTCTCTCTCTCACCGTGTCTCTCTCCCCGTGTCTCTCCCTCCCCGTGTCTCTCCCTCCCCGTGTCTCCCTCCCCGTGTCTCTCTCTCCCCTTGTCTCTCTCTCTCCCCGTGTCTCTCTCCCCGTGTCTCTCTCCCCCGTGTCTCTCCCGCCGTATCTCCTCGTGTCTCTCCCCGTGTCTCTCTCTCCCCGTGTCTCTCCCCCCGTGTCTCTCTCTCCCCATGTCTCTTTCACCATGTCTCTCTCACCGTGTCTCCCCGTGTCTCTCTCTCCCCGTGTCTCTCTCTCCCCGTGTCTCTCTCTCCCCGCGTGTCTCTCTCTCCCCGTGTCTCTCTCTCACCGTGTCTCTCTCACCGTATCTCTCCGTGTCTCTCTCTCCCCGTGTCTCTCCCCCCGTGTCTCTCTCCCCGTGTCTCTCTCTCCCGGTGTGTCTCTCTCCCCGTGTGTCTCTCTCCCCGTGTCTCTCTCTCTCCCCGTGTCTCTCTCTCTCCCCGTGTCTCTCTCTCACCGCGTCTCTCTCTCACCGTATCTCTTCCTGTTTCTGTGTCTCACCCTGTCTCCGTGTCTCTGTGTCTCACCCTGTCTCCGTGTCTCTGTGTCTCACCCTGTCTCCGTGTCTCCGTGTCTCACCGTGTCTCCGTGTCTCTGTGTCTCACCCTGTCTCTGTGTCTCACCCTGTCTCCGTGTCTCTGTGTCTCCGTGTCTCCGTGTCTCACCCTGTCTCTGTGTCTCACCCTGTCCCTGTGTCTCTGTGTCTCACCCTGTCTCCGTGTCTCTGTGTCTCACCCTGTCTCTGTGTCTCACCCTGTCTCCGTGTCTCTGTGTCTCACCCTGTCTCCGTGTCTCTGTGTCTCACCCTGTCTCTGTGTCTCACCCTGTCTCCGTGTCTCTGTGTCTCACCCTGTCTCTGTGTCTCACCCTGTCTCCGTGTCTCTGTGTCTCACCCTGTCTCCGTGTCTCTGCGTCTCACCCTGTCTCCGTGTCTCTGCGTCTCACCCTGTCTCCGTGTCTCACCCTGTCTCTGTGTCTCACCGTGTCTCCGTGTCTCTGTGTCTCACCCTGTCTCCGTGTCTCCGTGTCTCTAGACGCAGGAGCAGCAGATTCTCGCTCTCCCTCTGGCTTCGACTGGGGCTCGTACCTGCTGCAAGGAAACTTCGAAGCGGCTTCGGTGACCTGCTTCAAGCATGTACGTGGGCCTCCCCTAGCTCCACTCAGCCTCAAATCTCTGTTTGTCTGTGTGCGAGTCTGTGTGTGTGTGTCTGTGTGTGTGTGTGTGGGGAGCGGTAGTGTAGTAGCGGTTAGCACTACGCTGCGCTATGAACCCGGCGACCCGGGTTCGATTCCCGCTCACGGCCCAACACCGGTGACGATTATCTGAACCGGTCCCGGGCCTCCCCTAGGTCGACTCGGCCTCAAAATGAGTACCTGGTGCGGTGGATAAAAAACATCGCCACTGGGGAGACAAAGGCGGTCGGGCGTGGTGCTGGCCACCCACCCCCTCGTGTACCGTTACCGGCCTTCATAGGTGCTCGCTAACAGCACTTGCCCCTACAGTCTGTTAAGGCTATATGGGGGATCTTTGTCTTTGTCTGGAGTGATTGGAGGGCATGGGCCAGATCAGCTCAATAACAACGGTAGGAGGCTGCTAGATTTTTGTGCAGCCCATGGGCTTGTAATTACCAACACGCTGTTCCGGCATCGGCGCATCCACACAACATCAGTGGATGCATGCCGGGTCCAAGCAAGAACATCTGCTGGACTACAGTAGTGACGGACCAGCGGATGCGGGCCCATGTCCTTGACACCAGGACCTACCGTGGAGCTGATCTGCCCTCTGACCATCGACTAGTCATCTGTAAGATGCGCCTGCCATTCTTCCACTCTGGTGGTGGGTGTACACCCAGGACCCCATTCCAACCTAAAGTGGCCTGGTCTCAGTTATCTGATGAAAGTTGCAAGCGAGAATTTCATCATCGCTTGCGGCTGGGATTGGCATCGTCACCCACTCCTCCTGATGTCGAGGGTAAATGGGCGAGGTTTCGGACTGTGACTAATGCAGCTGCAATGGCTGCTTTGGGTACGCGGTCCAGACCTCCCCAGAGACCCTGGCTGACAGAGGAGGTGTTCAGGATGGTTGAGAAAAAGCGACAGGCCCACTGTCATCGGCTACAGAATCCCACGTCAGAGAATGAGGAGGCTTACCGCAGCCTTCGCTCGGAGGTTCAGAGAGCCGTGAGGCGCTGCAAGGATGGGTGGTGGTCGCGGGTTGCTGAGGAGATGGAGTCTGCCTCAGTGGCCCGTGATCACAAATCTCTATTTAACTCCATCAAAAAGTAACCTGCAGCGCCACACCTATTACCATCATTAGGGGAAAAAACAGGTGATCCAATTCTCCGACCTCCAGGAACAGGTTTCGCAGATTTGCTGAGCATTTCTGTGAGGTCCTAGGGGAGGGAAAATCCCTCAGCCAGGAAAACATCGTGGCACAAAGTGAGGATGACCCTGCTGAGGCTGCGGTGCCTCAAATATTGGATGAAGTCACCCCCTGTGAGTGGCTGGCTGAGGTGCCATCTGCTGAGGAAGTATTGAAGGCGATCCGGAGTCTGAGACCAGGAAAGGCAGCGGGCAGAGATGATCTCCCATGCGAAATGCTGAGGGAGGGTGGCGTTTGTGCACAGACTGCCCTACATGACATCATAACAACAGTCTGGACCACTGGACGGGTTCCTGCAGGATTGGAAGGATGCCCTGGTGGTCCCCCTCTTTTAAGAAGGGGGACCGCACAGACTGTAACAACTACAGGGGCATCTCACTCCTCAGTGTGCCTGGGAAAGGTCCTGGCAAGGATTATTCAACATCGCCTTGCCAGGCACTGCTGAGGAGAGGCTTGCGGAGCCCCAATGCGGTTTCAGGAAAGGGCGGTCCTGCACAGATGCCATATTTTCTGTCCGTCTGCTACAGCAGAGGTGTAGGGAATTCCAACAAGACCTACATCTCTGCTTTATTGACCTGGTCAAGGCCTAGGATACCATCAGTAGGCCTGGGCTCTGGGTCTATCTTCGTGCTTTTTGGAGTACCTGACCCTCTGCTCACGATCATTAAGGACCTTCATGATGGTGACCGGGCCCGGGTAAAACTACGTGGCCGGGAGTCATAGCCATTCCCTGTACACCTTGGGGTGCGACAGGGATGTCCTCTGGCTCCCACATTATTTAACATCTATTTTGACCACGTAGTTCGTGAAGCCTTCAATAGCTGTACCGGGGGAATCTCCATATGGTACAGATATAATGGGAGGCTGATTGATGCCCGGGTGCGGTCAAGGGATGGCTCCCTATTGCTCAACCACGTTATGTATGCTGATGATTTGGTAATAGCTGCTCATTCAGAGGAGGAGTTGGAGACGCTGCTGCTGAGACTGGAGCGTGCCACTAAGAGGTGGGGCCTTACCATCAGCCCCACCAAAACTAAGCACCTGCCTGGGTATTTTGTACCATCGGACACTCCACCCCCACAACTCCCAATCAGGTGATGGGGCAGTTGTGGAGAGAGTGGAGAGTTTTCCATACCTGGGCAGTGTGCTTATGACTGGCTCCAGGTTTAACAGCAGAGGTCTCACTCCGAATCAGTCGAGCGGCAATATCTTTTCATCGGTTGCGTAACGCTATGTGGAAGCTACCTGGTCTGTCGCTCCGCACTAAGCTTCAGGTCTTCTCGGCCACGGTCATTCCCTCCCTTCTCTACGCTTGCGAAACGTGGACCCCCTAATGGAACATCTTCGCCGGTTAGAAACATTTAGGCTAGGCCTGCCTACGATCCATCCTGGGTTTAACCCAGGACTGGATTGTGTGAGGAGCTCACAAATCCTTGAAAGATCTGGGCAGGGTCCCATCGGTGAGCTCCTCCGGCAGGCAAGGCTGCGATGGCTGGGTCATGTAGCCCGCATGCCCAGCCAACGCATGCCGAAACAGCTTTTATTTCGGCCGGATTGAGGGGGCTAAGACGGGCGCGGCACGGGCTAGAGAAGAGATGGAGTGATGTGGTACAGGAGGACGTGGAGCTGAGTGGACTTGCCGTTGACTGGTACCAGCGGTGTCAAGATCGGCCTCTGTGGAGGAGGTTCGTGAAGGACGCTACTGGGCAGTTGGAGGCAGTCGCCCTCCAACAACAACAGGAGGGCGGAGGAGCGACGCTCACAACAGCGAGCAGGAGCGCCGGGTGGCTAAAGCACAGCAGGTTGGCACAGTAGGGGGCACAGGTGGTGCATCAGCCAGCAGTCATCTCAGTCAGTCGACCCGTGGCACCTGTGGTCTGCCCCGTGACCTCCTGCCAGCGGGCGTTCGACACTTCACGTAGCCTCAAGGTGCACATAGCCTGGCACAAGCGTCGTGGTGACGTCACCGCCACTTAGTGGTGAATGGCGGTTGTTGTTGTTGTGTTGTTGTCTCACTGTGTGTGTCACTGTGTGTGTCACTGTGTGTGTCTCACTGTGTGTGTCTCACTGTGTGTGTCTCACTGTCTCACTGTGTGTGTCTCACTGTCTCACTGTGTGTGTCTCACTGTCTCACTGTGTGTGTCTCACTGTCTCACTGTGTGTGTCTCACTGTGTGTGTCTCACTGTCTCACTGTGTCACTGTGTGTCTCACTGTGTGTGTCTCACTGTGTGTGTCTCACTGTCTCACTGTGTGTGTCTCACTGTCTCACTGTGTGTCTCACTGTGTGTCTCACTGTGTGTCTCACTGTGTGTGTCTCACTGTGTGTGTCTCACTGTCTCACTGTGTGTGTCTCACTGTGTGTGTCTCACTGTGTGTGTCTCACTGTCTAACTGTCTCACTGTGTGTGTCTCACTGTGTGTGTCTCACTGTGTGTGTCTCACTGTCTCACTGTGTGTCTCACTGTGTGTCTCACTGTGTGTGTCTCACTGTGTGTGTCTCACTGTCTCACTGTGTGTGTCTCACTGTGTGTGTCTCACTGTGTGTGTCTCACTGTCTAACTGTCTCACTGTGTGTGTCTCACTGTCTCACTGTGTCTCACTGTGTGTGTCTCACTGTGTGTGTCTCACTGTGTGTCTCACTGTGTGTGTCACTGTCTCACTGTGTGTGTCTCACTGTGTGTGTCTCACTGTCTCACTGTGTGTGTCTCACTGTGTGTCTCACTGTGTGTGTCTCACTGTCTCACTGTGTGTGTCTCACTGTGTGTGTGTCTCACTGTCTCACTGTGTCTCACTGTGTGTGTCTCACTGTGTGTGTCTCCAGCTGGGTCTGTGTGCCGCCTTCTCTAGCGCCACGCTGGGTGTCACTGTGTGTGTCACTGTGTCACTGTGTGTGTCTCACTGTGTGTGTCTCACTGTGTGTGTCTCACTGTGTGTGTCTCACTGTCTCACTGTGTGTGTCTCACTGTCTCACTGTGTGTCTGTCTCACTATCTCACTGTCTCACTGTATCACTGTGTCTCACTGTGTGTGTCACTGTGTGTGTCTCACTGTGTGTGTCACTGTGTCACTGTGTGTGTCTCACTGTGTGTGTCTCACTGTCTCACTATCTCACTGTCTCACTGTGTCTCACTGTGTGTGTCTCACTGTGTGTGTCTCACTGTCTCACTGTGTGTGTCTCACTGTCTCACTGTGTGTGTCTCACTGTGTGTGTCTCACTGTGTGTGTCTCCAGCTGGGTCTGTGTGCCGCCTTCTCTAGCGCCACGCTGGGAGTCACTGTGTGTCACTGTGTCACTGTGTGTGTGTGTCACTGTGTGTGTCTCACTGTGTGTGTCTCACTGTCTCACTATCTCACTGTCTCACTGTGTCTCACTGTGTGTGTCACTGTGTGTGTCTCACTGTGTGTGTCACTGTGTCACTGTGTGTGTCTCACTGTGTGTGTCTCACTGTCTCACTATCTCACTGTCTCACTGTCTCACTGTGTGTGTCTCACTGTGTGTGTCTCACTGTGTGTGTCTCCAGCTGGGTCTGTGTGCCGCCTTCTCTAGCGCCACGCTGGGAGTCACTGTGTGTGTGTCACTGTGTCACTGTGTGTGTCACTGTCTCACTGTGTGTGTCTCACTGTGTGTGTGTCACTGTGTCACTGTGTGTGTCACTGTGTCACTGTGTGTGTCACTGTGTGTGTCTCACTGTGTGTGTCTCACTGTGTGTGTCTCACTGTCTAACTGTGTCACTGTGTGTGTCTCACTGTGTGT